ATCTGTGCCACAAGCAGGGTGAGGGATCTGCATCTGGAGCCAGGAAGCAACCAATGCTTGAAGTGAAGACTGGATCTCCCCAAAGAGAGCAACAGCCATCCCCGGTGGCAGCCAGGACACAAGCTCTCTGACATTGAGAACAGCAGATTTTGTATCGGGAAGACCATCCATGGAAAACTTCTCCGGGAAAAACAACAGCATGCCATCTTCCCCTCCAGTGCTCCTTTTGTGTCATGCAACAATGCTTAGATGGGTCTTCCATTCCCAGAACCATGCTGACTCAGTTCAACCGGGTGTTCCCATTTAAATTGACTGTTATTTAATCCATCACAAGGCTTCCACCCAGATTTCAAAAGAAAGCCTTAAAGGCCAGACAAAAGCATGTAACTGGGTTTTAAGAGACCCTACCCTGAGAGGGCAATGAATGAAGTTGTGAGAGGAAAGCTAAAGCTCTAGTGAACTCCCAGACGTTGGAGATGTCAGAAACATGGAATGTCTGTCAAGGAAAGGCAAAGGAGCTCATGCAAGAGAGAGGCCACGTGGGCTGTAACTGGCTAGGCTGCAGGCTGGGCTTCCTGTCTGTTGGAGCTCACAGCACACCACTGTGTGTCTGGAATGCTGGCCATGGAGCTATTTAATGTTTGCTGGGTTTGCTCTTTGATTTCTTTTTCTATTGCTCGATTCTTCCCTTTTGAAATGAGACTATTTACTCTGTTTCATGTTATCTTGGTATTATATAACTTGCTTTAAAAAACGAATAAAACAAAGCAAAACAATAAAGCAAATCAGAACGGCAATGCAAGTGAAACAGGACTTCAAAACAAGACAAGAGTAAATGAGAAAATGACTACAATAATGTCTCTTGTTTTCTTCAGAATAGCTGTACACACCATCACACACAATAAAGTCAAATAAAACAAAACAGAACAAAACCAATAAAAAGAATGAAACATTGTAGGACTTCAAAACAAGATAATAGGAAATCAACCAGTGGCTATTATAATGTCTCCTGATTTTTTCAAAATAGCTGTTCATACTTTCACACATAATACTTTCACACATAATAAAATCAAACAATACAAAATAGATTAAAACCAATCAAAACAAAAGAATGACTGCATTTCAGGACTTGAAAACAAGATATAGTAAGTGAATAATGGCTACTATAATCTCTCTTTGTTTTCTTCAAAATAGCTGTCCATACCATCACACATAAAATAAAATAAAACAAAGCAGAATAAAACCAACCAAAACAAAAGAATGAAAGCATTGTAGGACTTCAAAACAAGATGATAGGAAATCAACAAAAGCTACCATAGTGTCTCGGTTTCTTCAAAGTAGCTGTCCATACCATCACACATAGTAAAATAAAAAACAAAACAAAACAGAATAAAACAAATTAAAACAAAAGAATGAAAGCATTATAAGACTTCAAAACAAGGTGATAGGAAATAACAATGGTTACAATAATACATCCTGTTGTCTTCAAAATAGTGGCCCATACCATCAGGCAATAAAATCTAACAAAACAAGACTGAATAAAGCCAAAACTATTAAAGTTATGAAAACAATACAAAAACTCCATACAAGATAATAGGAAATTAACAGTGGTTACCACTTTCTCTTTTTAGGTATTTCTTCCCTTATCACTTTCATAATACCTATTGTGCTTTTTGGATCCAACTAACTTCTTCAGTTTTTTATACTAGGAAGGTAACCTGATGTTCATCCCTATGAGTCCAAACCATTTCACCAATGAGCATGATCTCCAGTTGCATCCACTTACCTACAGGACCTTGAGATTGTCTCACTTTATAGCTGGGTAGCTCTCTATTGTATGAAAATACCATATCTTTCTTATCCATTTTGTGGTTGATGGGCAAGTTACCCTTGCTTTTTTTTTAAGATTGTGTTTCTTGTATACAGTGTATTGATGGATCTTGTTTCTTGATCCACTCTCCCTGTGTTTCCTTTTATTGGTAAATTGAGGCCGCCTACATTAATGGTTACAACCAGCATACATTGGTTTGTCCCTGCCATGCTATCCTCCTGCTGTTGACCCTCCACTTTTCCTCCTTATTCAATTGCCTGTCTTGTTTGGCAATCTCCTCTGCTGCTGTTCCTGGAACCATGGTCATCTTTATCTCTCTCTAGAATATCCTTTAGCATTCTCTGTAGGGTTGGTTTGGTGCTCATGAATTTCTTCAGTTGTTCTTTATCATGGAAGTATCTTATTTTTCTGTCAATTTTGAAAGATAGTTTTGCAGGGTGGATCAATCTGGGTTGAAAGTTGTTTTCTTTCAGGATTTGAAATATTTCACTCTAAACTCTTCTTGGCTTGATGGTTTGTGCTGACAAGTCTGCCATGATTCTGATTGATTTTGTTTTTGTAGATGATTTTGTTTCTTTTCTCTGCCATGATTCTGATTGGTTTTGCTTTGTAGATGATTTTGTTTCTTTTCTCTAACAGCTTTTAGTATTCTGTTTTTGTGCTGAATTTCTGGGATCTTGATTATTATATGTCTGGGTGTAGATTCATTTTGGTAATGGCTAGTTGGACGTTTATATGCCTTCTTAGATTATCTGGATGCCAGATCTTTTCCCCATGTTTGGGAAATTTTCTGCTATTACTTTTAAATAATCTTTATTTCATCTGTATTGACCCCTTCTTCATTGATACCTATCACTCTTAAATTATTTTTGTGTGTGTCATATTGAAGCTGTTGAACTGTTATTTCCTGGTTCCTTGTTATTTTTAAGAGATCTTTCTTTTCATGATTGCTAGCTGTAGTGCTGTCTTCAAGGTCTGAAAGTCTATCTTCAGTCTCTATCAAAGTGGTTTTGCCAGCTTTTGGCTGACTTTTTAATTTCCTGCATATCTCTTTGAATCTCTTTCATGTATTGTTCCTTCAAGGACTCCATCATTTTCCTGTGCTCCTCTTTTTCATCTATGTCTTCTTTAGATATGTGCAGCAATTCTTTCATTATGTTTGTGATTTCTTCCTTTACCTGAGATATGATTTCTTACCCGATTACTTTTACAGTCTCATGAAGTTGTTTCTTTACTTTAGTTGCTCCCCTTAGAGATTTCAGGTGTGTGACTTCCATTTATTCCATGTTTGTATCTCCCAGACTTGCTTTGTGTGGGGTGGAGGTCCGAGATTGCTTTTGCTCCTTTATCTTGACACTCTCCTGGGTTCCTCCCAACAAGCCAGTTGAGGGGTCGTAGGCATTTCCCACATTGGCTGTTCCCTCTGTGGTGTAGGGGAATAGGACAGGCACCTGGGTTTCTCTGACCCCAGGCTACCAGGAGGTACCAGGAGGTGGGGCGGGCTTCTCCAGACCTGTGCAGCTGTGCTGAGGCTTCCCCGACGGCCAGCATGCATGGTGATGAGGCTGCGTCTTCTCTCAGCCTGAGTAGCCACACCAGGACTCCTCTAGTGGCAACAGGCACAGAGGGTGTGTTTGTTTGATTCTCCTGGTGGGTGATGGCTGCCCCAAGGAAGTGAGAGTCTTCAATGGCAACCTGCAGGCACAGGGGCATATCTGGTTGAGGCTCCCTGCCTGCACTGGCTGTCCGCAGGACAGCTTTTTTAATGGGTTTGCAGTTGCCTAGAGTCTTAGAGTGAACTTTGGGGTTGGACCTCTGAGCATTGCTCTAACTCGGTGGTGACAAACCTAAGGCCTGTGTGCTACGGCAGGCTATTCTTCATCATTGGAAGCAATAAATTTCACCACCACTGCTCTGTTGTTTCAGAAGAAGTTAGTGTGTTTGTGGTTATACACAGCATAGTCATTTCATGTTAGGTGAATTAGGACCTCATGTTTATTTAGAGATTAAATATGGGTTTAAGATATATATTTAGCTGTCAAGTTGACAAGGGGTAGAACGATAATGAAATTTATGCTCAGTTTGACTGGTCTGAAGGACTCCTAGGAGGTTAGCAAATCACACACTTCTGGGTGTTTCTAGGTGGAGAATGGGTCAGCCTTTGGGCTACCTGGGACCTGTCCCCTTCCTCTTGGTCCCTTGCCCTGTGCTTTGCTTCCTGGCTGCCAAGAGGCGAACTGCTTTCTTTTGTCATACCTTTCCACCATGATGTTTCTTCTTTGGAACTAGCCAACTACAGGCTAAAATCATGAGCCAAAAATATTTCTTCATCAATAATTGTGTGTTGATGTAAATCGGCACACAGTTATTAAATATGCATTGTTACATGAAAAAAGAATAGATAAGCATGTTATGTCATGTTTGTAGACATGTAGTTTATTAGTGGGTTAATTTTTAAAGTTTAAAAAATCATTCTTAATAATTTATCCAAAACCTGTGTATTTTGTTTTCTTTTTTTTTTTTTTTTGCATACACAAGTCAGAAACTGAAAGTGAATGGTTTTCTAATGTCTTAAAACATTTGTGCCATTATTTGTGTTTTGAATTTTGCTTTGAGATTTATGCGAATACTCTTGTTCTTTGTTTTGTTTTACAGTTGCCTGCCACAACCGGCCTTTTTTTGTGTGCCAGGAATTTAACTCAGAACCTTGCACTTGCTAGGCAGGCACTGTGCCACTGACTTGTATCCCTAGCCCTAGCGTATCTTTGACTTTTTAACACTTTTTTTTTTTTTTTTTTTTTTCGGTACCGGGGATCGAACTCACAACCTTGTGCTTACCAGGGAAGCACTTAAGCCACTGAACTAAATCCCCAGCCTGACTTTAACAAATTTTATTTTGTCTTGATTGTGTCCTTTGCCAGGTTTTATATTTTTTATTTTATGCATTTCAATATCATTTTTACATTATTGTGTTATAAATATTTTTCATGCTTTTTTGTTTTATTATTTACAATTCCATCTTGTTTTCTTTATTTTATCTTTCAAAAATACAAACTATATTTGCAGTTTGTTTTTATTTTTCAGTGTTTTATAAGGTTTCAAACTACAGTTACTTTTACCAATGTTTCAAATTCATTGTTTAATCTCCTTCTATAATTGTTACTATTAGATTTGAAGACACATTTTTCAACTTTTCCATACTTGCAAGACTTCCTCTTCTGGTCTACTCCACATTGTAAGTTTATTTATAGAATTTGAAATTTTACATGCATCTTTCTTTCTTTCCTTCTTCCTTCTCTCTCTTCTTCCTTCCTTCCTCTCTTCTCACCCTCCTTTCTTCCTTCTTTCTTATATTGGAGAATTAAGAAATTCCTCAAATGCCTATTAACATTGGTTCTTTTCCTACTTAAGAGAAGGCTCTGGAAATCAATGTTATTCACCAAGTTAAAATAAGGAAGGAAAAGCATGCCAATACTTCAGGAGATGCATTTGACAACAGTCAGCATCAGTTCATAATGAATTTTCAGTGAACTTGGAATAGATAGGATTTTCCTCAGATGGTTTTAAAACACACCAAATATTTACATAAGTAATCATACACTGCTTAACAATAGGGATATGTTCCAAGAAAGGTGCTGTGAGTGATGTTGTGTGTGAAAACCACTGAATGTGCTATACTCACACAACCAAGATGAGTAAAATAGGAACTAGGTGGTATAATTTATAGGCCCACATTACATGTGTTCAGTCCATTATTGACTGAAATATCTACATGGTGCCTGCTGGTACGCGTATGTACCCATGTGCCTGGCAACACTGTGCTTAGCTAAGGCTTTTTTTCTTATGATTGAAAGCAAGGCAAGGAAACCCACGCTTCCCACTAAGATATTGCATTTCAGCACCTAATAAGCTCAGAAAGAGAGGAAGAGGCAATAACTGTGGAGGGAAAAAGTAAAACAGTCTTTATTTGCTGATGACATAATTATTTTCTATAAAACAAAAATCTATAAATACTTTGGTGGATTTACCAAGAGCATACATTTATACTTTTCAAATAAATTCTATTTTCAGGCAATAATAATAACAAACAATTTAAATCCAATACTATCTGAAGTAGCACCAAAAACAATAAAGTAACTAGCAATAAATTTAATAACAGATGTACGTGACTACTACAATAACTGAAAGAAAACAAGTGAAGAGATATATGTAATGTTAATAGATGTGAAGTTCAACAATGCTAACATGACACTTCTCACCAAGTTTGTCTATATGTTCAATGGAAACACAATCAAAACCTAAAAGGCTTTTGTTGTAGCTATTCACTAACTGATTCTAAACAAACTGATTCTAAAGGAAACTAGTGATAAGGCAAAGCCAAGACAATTCTTCCTAATTGACTTCAAGACTTTCTTTAAACTGTAGAACTCAATTCAAAATGATATTGGCATGTGAAGAGACAAGATTATCAATGGTACAGAGTAAAGTCCCAAGACAGAGCAAGTTTGCAAGTGTTGTAAATTGATTTGTGAATATTTTAATGGCCTTGCAATGAACAGATTTCTTAGATACTAAAGTCACTAAGCATAGAAAAAAATGATAGATTATACTTCACTATATTAAAAATTTCTCATCAAATGGCATAGTTAAAAATGCAAAGCAAGAAAAATATGGAGAATATTATTCACAATACCCAAATCAGAAAATATATTTCTGTTCATAACACTTGCAACTATCACAGATTCTAGGAGAACATGGTAGATAGATAACAACAGCTATGGAGGCTCTCTGAGATAGCCAGCTTAGAATCCAGGAATGGTGCGGTGTGAGGAGTCCTAAGCAGGGGGTGATATACCCTGCCGACCCAAGAATGAACTAAGCTGATAGAAACCAACTGGCAATGCAGTCCTGGTGCTAGGACCAGAAACAGATAAAATCTCAGCACTGAAGCTGGAACTCGTGCCTCTGGAAGCCACAATTTGAATTTCCTGCTGCTGCTGCATCTGAATCGGCACAGCAGGGATAGAGGTGCCAAAGCTCTGAGAGCAGGAATCAGCGAACTGAATTGAGAGCAGAACTGGTGGGGAGCCCTGCATTGACCTGCGGTGAGTGAGCAGAACAGGTAGCCTTCCATAGACTAGGAGGCTCCATCAGAGGACATTCTGGGACCAGGCAGACTAGCCAGAACAGAATGCTGCAGTGACTTTAGTCACATATTCCCCTCACAAGTAGGATTGGTAGGGAGCACCTGACCTGGGTGACGCCATGGATTAAGACCCAGTAGGCTAGCCCAAATCAGGTCCCTGCACCTGGCAGTATACCCTAATGCAGTGAAGCCTTCAGCAGGTTGACTGACCTGGAGGGGCGGGCCCAGCATAGGCTGCCCAGGTCTGTGTCCCTAGTATACTGCAGTGGGTGGGAACACCTAGCCAGCGTGATTCAAACAAACTGTAACCCACAAAGAAAGAAACTGGGCCTCCTGTATACACTTGTATGGAAGGAACAAAAAGTATGGGAAGAGGGAGCAACAAGAAAGGGTCGTCAGTCCCCAATTCTGAGAACACTGATCCAGGAAAGGTAAATGCAAAGGAGAATGAGGACAGAAAACATGCAATATCAGTCATGGCACCAATAGAGATAAAGCGATATCTCCAGAGCCTCATAGATGAGTTCAAAAATGAAGTATTTAACCAAGTAAAGCAAGATATAAGTAGAATAGTTAGAGAAATGCTAAGCACTGCCAAAGAAAAAACAGATGGTGGAATGGAAGAACAGAAAAAAAGGGGAAAATTGTTTGATGGAGAAAATAGAGAAAACATAGAATACGTGAAGCAGGTTCAAAGAGATTACCAGGAAACTAAAAACTGTATTGAAAGCTTGCATAACAGCTGGAAAGAAGCTAAGAATAGATTATCTGAACTGGAGCACAGATTTGTAATGTGGGAGCATGAAATGAAAAACTTCTTAAAAATAACAAGGAAACAAACAGCAATAATACAAAGGCTAGAAGATGATAAGAGGATCTATAACTTAAGAATTAAGAACATAAAGGAAGAAGTAGAGACACAAACAAATGAACTACAAAGACTATTCACAGAAATAATCCAGGAGAATTTTCCTAATTTAGTAAAAGTTAAAGATACTCAGATGTATGAGGCATACAAGACCCCAGCCACCTACGACCCAAATAGAACTACACCCAAGCATATTATAATCAAAATCCCAGAAATTCATTATAAGAACAGAATACTAAAAGCTATCAGAGATAAGAAACAGATCACTTAAAAGGGAACACCCATCAGAATTACAGCAGACTTCTCGGCACAAACCATCAAATCACGAAGAGCATGGGGGGAAATAATTCAAACTGTCCCTAGAAATTAATGGAGAAATAAGGTGCTTCCAGGATAAAGAGGAACTAGGGGAATTTGCAACCACCAGTTGAACTCTACATAGAATACTGCAGGACATTCTAAAAGAGAAAAATAACAAGATTCCAAAAACAGTAACAGAGAGGCCGCAATGAATGGAGCAGAAAGCAAAATGAAGAAGACAAACTGACAAATAATGACAGAAAAAGAGCTCAGCAGAAATGAGGCAGAGAAGGTTGGATATAATTTCTAATATAGATGGCCTAGATACCCTAACTTCAGGGAAAAAATAGAGAATAGCAGGCAGAGTGGACCAAGAGATACAGCCCACCAAGAGGCTCTTTATAGGTAATATAATTAGCCTGAAGACCAAAATCAAACATGAGAAAATGGAACTTGATGTAATAGGGAACCAGAGAGTAATGGGGGAAACTAGACCAGTATTTTTGGATAGGTTGAACAGACAGGCTTTAATAAATGAAGAAATATAACTAGAAATCCAGCCCAGGAGTGAGAAAGTTCAGAAACACTTAAGTAAATAGCAGGTTGCCCCCCCCAATACAAAACCATGAGTGTTGGGAAGACCCAAAAATACACAGTTCGTTCTGGGGGAGTAAAAGGGAGGAATAGTCCTCAAAAAAAAAAAAAAAAAAAACAAAAAACAAAACAAAAAAAAACCCAGCAGATGATATAGCTAATAATGTATCAGGAATTAAAACCCCTATTACTCGCACCACTCTGCTTGGCTGGAACTCTTTGTGTCCTAGTTTGTATATAAGCATTGGATCTGAGGGTCACGGACGGCTGTCCATAGCATGGGGGACATCTTTAATTCCCTATTAACTCAATCACGATCTATGCATGATGTATCCTGTTATATCATGACTGAGTTTAGTTAAATCTGATTTGTTTGATTGCTGCTTGTTATTGACAGATTTTATTCAAAACCTGTAAGGTTGATGGCAATAAGTTGAGGAGTACAGACAACTATACTGAAAATGACAATGATTCACTATAATATCCATTCTGATTTCATTTATTACCTGTTTTTATAGCTCCACACTATCTATAAAGTTGTATTTCTGTTAATTCTGTTATGTATGATATGCTCGATTATACTTTATCTGATGATATAGCCAATTCTGTTGATAACAAGAAACAGCATAGTGACCAGGATAGAACTCCGTATACGGCAGATTTATATGTGTTTTTAGTTTTATATGTCTATAGGAAAAAGTTTAGTTCTATCCTGCTTTGTTATGTTTTTCTCTTTAGCATACAAAGGATAGAAATACATGTTAAGACTCAAGCTTATGTAAAACCAATAAACAGTTTATGAGCATTGATCTGATGACACATGATGAAAGGAACAAAAACTTTGAAAGAAAGAAAGTGGCCCTGCAGTACCCAATCCTGATTCCAGAGTGTTATGATGTGAAATCCAGAAATATTATTAATCTTTGTTTAGAAGGATTTTAATGTAATATGCTCTGTTAGGTTTCAACATAAATGAAGATATGGATAAACACCTACATGTCTAAGTGTATAGGATTGATAGCCATAATACTTAGTTTTTGTTGGATAGTTGAACAGAACTGTTTGCAGTCTTCCTGGTTGAAATCCCATTTATATGTTCCACTTGTGTACCTTGAACAACTATTTATAGGGGGACAATATGTATACATCAGCTAGTGATTTATTACTGTCTATTTTCTTTGAAAGTATGTACTATTTCTGCTTGTTTTCTAATGTTTTGTCTTTCTTTAAATAAAAAAATTGCAAATATCTGTTGACAAGTAAAAGATAATAAAATCATAAATGGGCCTATCTCACAGAGGAAGATAAAAAAAATCACTAAAAATCACATGAATTGTCTGGCGAGGGCGAGGTTGTGAATTCAATTCTCAGTCCAAAAAAATCACATGAAGATGTGTTCAACATCATTAGTCATTAAAGGAGTAAAAGGGTTGGGGATATAGCTCAGTGGCACCGTACCTGCATGGCAAGCTTTATTCAGATTTGTCCCAACTTGGAATCAATCCGAGGCCATCAACAGGAAAATGAGTGAATTGGTTGATACGTTCTCATGATGGAATACCACTCAGCAATGAAAAGAGGCAAGTTATCACTAAATATAACCATGTGGGTAAAGAGCAAAAAAAAGAAAGCCAGACACAAATGCATGCAAAATAGCTCTTGCTCTTCTCCACCGTGGTTCAGGCTCAAGATGAAAAGGAGAACCCCATGTGGGAACTTCAAATCCACAAGCTCTGCCTTCCCATTGCATCAGAGAGGATGGACACAGACTGACCAGGGCAGCCAGGGTACCGGAGCAGCTCCCAGGCCAGACTCCTGTATCTTCAAAAGCTAGAGACACTGTGAGATCCTTCGGTACCAGGAGAAATGAGAAGGTCGCTGTCCACTGCACAGGCACAAGGAATCCTGGAGGAAGGTCTAACGGTGTGAGAGTGTGAGTCAAGGAAACATAACTTCTCCGATCCTGGAAGCTTTGGTTTTGGGATCCAGGAACACACTGATCTGCACATCAAATATGACCCCAGGCTTGGTATCCATGGCTTGGACTTCTGCAAGGTGTTGGGCAGGCCAGGCTTCAGCATCGCAGACAAGAAGCCCAAGACAGGCTGCACTGGGGCCAAACGCAGAATCAGCGAAGAGGAGGCCACGCCGGTTCCAGCAGAAGGATGATGGCACCATCCTGCCTGGCAGATAAATCCCTGGTCCTTCCAAGAGGCCAATAAAATGTTTTCAGTGAAAAACAAAAAAGCACACGAGATACATTTCCCCACGTTTATGAAATCCAGTCCAGGTGACATTAGCACAGGGAAATGAGAGCAGTTTGTCCCCGGGAGGATGCTTGGCCGACTGGTGCCGCAGGTGGGATAAGGGGCCAGTGCACAGCAGGCAGCTCCTCAGCCACTTCTCCTTCATGGCCTCCACCTGCTGGCTGCCATCCTGGCCTCCAGAAGATCCCTCCACCTACAGCTGCACCGAGGGCTCCTCTGACTGCTTCCACATTTATCTCACAGACTTCGAATAAAATCCCTCATTCTTTCATTGTCCTCTGCCATGCTTGTCATTTCTGAATCTAAATTCTCTATTATCATGAAAGTAACAAAGTTTTTAACAAAGGAGAAGACAAATGCCTCTCTTCAAGCTAGTCTCTAGCCAGAAACTTTTGTTTTACAGAAATTCAGAACGATAACTTGGTATTATTATCATTATTCTCTGCTGTTGCAGAGTATTGGGAACTGCCCGTGGTTCTTTTCTGGTTAGACAAAGAAAGATTTCAGTTTTCATAGCATTTAGAAATACAAAGATGTTGGTTAAAATATTAAGGCAATAAATGCACCAAGTATGAATCAGGATTTTAGGCTCAGGTTTAAAATCATACTCACAGGAAACAACAGCAATTTCTGAAATTCAGGTACCCAAAAAGATTCACTGCATGTAACAATAGCACAGACTTATATTAACACAGATCAGAACCAGATTTCACAGGAAATGTCATCAATATTCTTGAAAATTTTCCATTTGTATTTACCATAGCATCATCATTAAGCCATAGTATGTATTTATGAATTAATTTTGTACTGTAGGGTGATATTAATCTTTCCAAGGTTTGTTTCTTCTTAGATGCTAATTAAGATACATTTTTGAGATTGTATTTGATTTTTATTTCACTGTTTTAATTGCTTTACTTGTAGGCATTTAAATTAAATTAAATTCCTCTCAATTTTGAGGCAATTTGAATTTTTTTTTGGGGGGGGGACCGGGAATTGAACTCATGACCTAGCACTTGCCAGGCAGACCTTATGCTGCTGAGCTAAATCCCTGGCCCAAATTTGAATTTTTAATTCAAAAAACTTTGAAAACATCCAAGTGACAATATATTTATAATGGCTTTGGTTGGAATGTACTGGACATTTAAAGTCCCATACTGTATATAAGTTATTTGTAACTTCCACGCTTTTTTATGACACCGTTGATTATTGCTTCAGTTCCATTTATTTGGGAAGCTCTGCTATTTTATGTACGTTAGTTCTTCACAGCTTGTCCACATGTAAAATCTTATCACCCTTACAAGTATCTCAGAATCTTGGTAATCACTTTTCTATGGTACCTTTTTCCCTAGGACGTTCACAGATGTCCAAGATACAGAGGACCCTGTGCAGATTGTATTTAAATACTTCAAAACAAATAAAGTACGGATTTCATATGCAATACAAAAATCATTTCCTTTTCTTGAGGGTCTCCGTGACCGTGAACTTATCACCAACAAAATGTATGACGTAAGTGAAATTTATTATGTCACAAGTTGATAAACAAGTTCCAAATTAAGTTATTTTTTTTAATATAGTAGAACCAAACTTCAGGATACAATTATCCCATTAGTGCATCTCCTATTGTTCTGTTCTTCTCTCATATTTCTGTAAGTTCTCCTGCAAGGCAGTAAAGGAGAGGAGAAGCAGAGATTCCCTGGATTTCATGGAAGGAATTTTGTCATGCTGGGGTTGGGTAAATGGCACTGCAATTAAGCCAGGTCAAAAACGGGTGTACTCTGCTGATGTGCAAAGTCTTGTGCATTTTATACATGGTAACCCATGAAATTCATATAGTGCAATATAAACTAAATATTAAAAATAATTTTAATGGATTGATGAATAATCTTATTGAACTTCTTTATTGAGATAGCAATTTACAAAGCATTTTATTTCACTTAATATCAAATTGTAAAACCCACATCAGAGAACATCAAACCCACGGAATTAGCATTCTATTAGAAAAAATTTTGAGAATTGATACATACCATGCTTTCCATAGCGTTTTTGTTTTGTTTTGGCTTTTTGCTGCACTCCTAAACGTCTGGCTGAGATCTGGGTAAATTTTACCAGTAGGCCCTTGTGGAGATTCCCAGCAATCTTTCTTTCTTTTGTTGCATGGACATGCTTTTCTCACGGTCAGCGTCACACCGAGGGGAAACAGTCCTCACTGCCTTGAGCCACTCAGGCCCAGCCAGCATCACCTGCTAAGGCTATTCTCAGAGCATCCAGGCTGCCAGCCAGTCAACTTGGAATTCACTTTGTCCTTTAAAGCTCCTCCTCACATGTAATGCCAAGCAGGGTGAGCTCAGACTCACCAATGGTTTGGGGTTTTTGTTGTTGTTGTTTGTTTTTCTTTTTTTGCTACTTGGAATTTATTTATTTAGTTAGTTATTATTATTTTGAAGACAGTCTTATTAAGTCATTAACTTGCCCACATTGGGCTCCAACTCACAATTCTCCTGCCTCACCCTCCCAGAGCACTAGGATTACAAGTGTGCACCACTGTGCCCACTTCACACATGGGTATGTTTAAGGAAGAAAGTTTTACTTTTTTAATTTAGTAGTTGTACAAATGTATAAATGTTCCAAAGCTGTATACAAGAAGATGCCTACAGAGGGAAATTGAAATATACTGATTATGAAATTACTTTTCAGCACTCTTTTCTAACTTCGAAGTCTGTAGGTAAACTTTCTCCATTCAATATTTTTTAAGGATTATCAAGAGTCCTGTAAACACCTGGTCCCTGTACAAAAAGTGATGTATGATGTTCTCAACGAATTGGAGAAAAAGTTTGACCTGGCGGTTCTGGACGCATTATTCAGTGAGGTCAACAGGGCAGAGTACCCCGACTTAATACACATTTACAAAGACTTCCAAAACAGTAAGTAAGCTTATTACCCCTTTTGAGGTCCACTGTCAGTTTTTTAAACAAAGCATGTATTGAGTTTCTACCCCATGTCACACACTATGCTGGACAGTAGAGATATCATGGTTAATGACACAGATAGGCCAGGAGACAGCGATTTCAGGGCAGCTAAGGGCTACGGTAAGTGCCTGCCAGAGCTGCTAATTGGATGCAGACTCATGAGATTGCAGAGCTGCCTTGGCCCAGCTTTACCTACAAGAGCCTAGGACAAGAAACATAGAACCCCAGCCATACCCCTGTTCCCTTCAGTGGGAGTCAGGCCATAGTCTATACATCAGCCCACCAAGTTGACATTACCGCCCCCGAGTGACAGCTTGGCTGTGGCTGTAGCATCCACTGGGGCTTAGTACCACACACAAGAGTGGAAGTCAAGCTCCCTTTAACAACTGCAGTGTCCTAGTTTTAAGGGTCTGAGTTATGAGAGTCACCACTTTGCTGGAGGACCACATTCTGGCTTCCTGCAGACACCTGTAGCTCATAAGCAGTCCTCAGTCACCTGTCATGGGTCATTTTTAATCTAAACCCAGAGAAAAGTCCATCTATATTAAGTTTCCAGACTGGTGAGTAAGGAAGTTAACCTTGGGTCAAATTTTCCTTCAAAGAAGAAGCAGTTTTGTTTACCTTTCATCCACGGAGGGTAAAACAAACATGAAGCACATTTACTACTATGCAGTAAAAAAGGATGACCTCCAATTTATTTTTGTAGATTACCTTCCCCCAAAAAGTTTTTATTCCAACAGCTTGATCTCAGTTAAGTTTTCCAAAGACAAGATAGAGGTATCACAAGGAAAAGGGGGCATATTCTGGGGAAGAAAAGGAACAGAAGTGTGAAAGGATGTCTGTGAAATGCCCACACATTTGCTTTATCTGAATTTGAAAGTGAGGAGAAGTATAGAAATTGGCTTAATGGCATAAATTGGTGGAAGATTTTGAAGCACCTACTATTTAAAGCTAAGAATTTAAAGTTTGTGTACTAGGCAATAAAGACATACTATAGGTTTATTAGCATGGAAAAATATTTAAGGCAGGTGTCTAGAACTTGGTCAGTTGTGTGAAAGAGTAACTTCATCAAAGGGAGAATTGGTTTTATATCAAGTCACTCAAATCAGAAAAAGAATAAAAGAAATCAAATACGTGGGCACCGATTTTGAGTCAATATTCTATTTGTAACCAGAATCCCCCAGCTTGAGCATATGAAGGAAATAGCGTTAACTTTACTGCCCAAAACTCATGATCTTTGATCTCCAGGGACTGTGACCCCCTGTCCCAGACCCCAAGGTCCACATCTCACTCCTTAGCTCCTCATACTCCCTGTGAGTTGGACACTCTGAGTGTTTCCTCTCTGTGAAGGAAACAGAAAGGCTTCCTGTGGGGATCAGCTCTTTCTGCCTCAGGTATCACCATGAAATTTCTCATGTGGGACCCACTGAGCCCTGAGTGGAATTTTGAAACGTTATCCCTGGTCCCAGAGAGAGATCTCTAATTGCTTTCTCTGTCTCTTTAGTGATCCATGACAAACTGTGTCTCCCAGAAGGTGATGGAGAAGAGAGAGAAGAGAGACCCCACACCCAACTAAGGCTTGAAGAAGGTAATTATAATTAGGCAAAAACCAGATTCTTATCTGTTCAGAGGAAAAGGAGAAAAAGGAGTCTGCTAATGAAGATCGTGAACTAGGAGATAAATGGGAGAGAACCATAAAGAAGGCAAGGAAAGGAGTTTTTATATGAGCCTTGTGTTAATCAGCTTTCCATGACTGTGCCAAAGTACCTAAGAGAAATCAGCTAAAAGGTGGAGATATTTACCTGGGCTCATGGTTTTGGAGGCTTCAGTTCATGGTTGCTTGGCCCCATTGTTTGGGACCTGTGGAGAGGCTAAACATCAATGATGGAAACACAGAGGAATGAAACTGTTCAACTCATGGTTCACCAGGTTCCAGTAGTACCATTGACTGGGGACCAGGCCTGTGGCCCATGAGCCTCGGGAGGACACTTGAGATGAAAACCATAATAAGTCCCTAAGGGGAAGTGCAATCATAACAAAGTAGCCAATACCAAAGATAAAGGAACCAGAGCCAGGTCACCAGTAAGCAGATTTAGAGAGACTGCCTACTTAGATGTAATTGTGATTTAGGAAAAGATCTCTGTGGGAGATCAGGATGAGGCTGTGAAGAGGTAAGAACTATGGCCCATGGCCAGCATTAAAGAGCAGGCCCTTGGTGAGAGATAAACTCCCTTGTTACTGACACCTTCACACTCATAGGACTTCTGACATAGAATATGAGAGAGGGGGACTCTCCAGTGCCCACCAAGATTCTGCAGCATGTCCTATAGCTCACTTCTCTCCAGGTACTTACCAGCTAGAATTAGCACAGCTCACATGTTAAGGGCTTAGTACGTCGAGACAGCCCCCACCTCAGATGACAGTTCCAGGCGCCAGGTTGTAACCAGGAGCTGTTACAGCTGCACAGGAGGCAGAAGGAAGAGGATTATTTGAGCCCAGGAGTGCAAGGCCAGCCTAGCGGTGTGGTGAAGCACTATCTCCAGAGCAGAAGTTCCTGGTTGGGATCTGTTCTTCTGACCAACTGGCTCCAAGTTGCCACATCCTCTTCTTGAGTTGGGTAATCTATTAACAGAACTAATGCAACTCAGAGAACAAGTCCTACAAAGCTTACAGTTCATTATAAAAGGATAGAACTTAAGAATAGCCAGATAAAAGAGCTGTGTGGGGCATAGGAAATGAGCGATATGGAATTTCCACACCCTCTCTGGACATGCAGCCCTCTCAGAACGCCCACATGTTTGCCAACCCAGTAGGTCTCTGAACCCAATCATTTAAGTCTTTTTTAAAAATAGAAGTTCCTGTGTGTAGGCATGATTGGGTAACTCACGGGCTAGCTGTGATTAAGTCAGCCTCCAGCCCATCTCTCCTCCCTGGAGACCAGGGGCCTCTGATCCTCCAATCAAGTTTAATTTCCCTTAGAAACCAGCCCTCCCTCCTTAGGGGCTTCCCAGAACCCATTTCATTAGTGTAAACTGAAGTGTTACTGAAAAGGGCTGGTTATGAATAGCGAAAGAGGCTCTTTTTATTTCTATCACTAAAGAAATTTAAGAGTTCAGAAGCTCTAACCAAGAGCAGGGAAGCCAGACCTAAATATCCTCTTCAGATTGCATCACGATGTTTCCCCACAGCAGCAGAAGAGATGGTTTTAAACATGGGGACAGTTGTTCCAGAGCAGGAATATTCATGTAGAGGGACCCAGAGAGGACGTGGTGATGTGAGAAGAGCACATGGACACTCTGAGAGAGTCAGGAAGAAAAGGGAAATGGAAAGGTAGAAAGGGGTAAAGGCCCTAATAAAAAAGAACCTTGTAGTTGATCACCCACTCTGTTGACTATTTACTCTTGGTCATTGTGGATTTAGTGTCCAGGGAGCCAATTAGGCTCGCATCTTTGCAGATGAGGAAACTGAAATCTGTAACGACCATGTGAGGAATTTGCTATGAGTCCAGTGAGCAAGGGAGAACTCAGGCATTCTGATCGGAGAGCCAGTGTTCTTAACCAGGTAATCTAAGGAAAAGGCAGACACATGAGATGGAAGGAGGGAAACATACGCGGAGAGCAAGACGCAGGAAACACGCAGCACGAGTTCCAGGAAGTGGAGGTGACTCGGCCGTGAGATCCCATGGGAAGGCCAACAAAAAAAAGCCAGTGGATGTGTGGAGAGGATGTGGTGTGAAAGGCAGCGGGGACCAGGCAACCAGGACCTCTAAGGGCTGGGGGAGCCGCTGGGCAGGGCAGTCCTAGGAAGAAGGGCAGACTGGCCTCAGCTGTGGGTATCCAGACGTCGTTGCCAGGTGCCAGCGCAGCCCGCAGAGGATGCTGTGAGGCCCTGAGCCAGCGGCAGGGTGCTGGTCCTCCTCACCCTCGGGATTACAGTCTGACTCCAAGAAGCGAGAGGTGCTGTCAGCCCCAGACGGCCCCAGACTGACACATCCAGATCGGCTCTTTAACCTCCTGCCTGACGAAAGCAGTGCAGAGAGGGAGGGGAAATGGCAAAAACCCACAGTTCAATTTCTGAAACTCACTTTCCACTTCTTCCTTTAGGAACTGGAAGAAACTCTGCTTCACGAAGCCTTACGTGGTCACTCCCGGAGCCTTCAGCTGACGGTCTGTGCCTCTGGGCTCTTGAGTGGGCCTTTGCTGGTTTACCCCTTTCTGGAATGCACTGTGGGGCTGCTTCCTTCTGTGACTGACGGCTGAGGATTTTCAGTCTTTGCATCTGCTATCTTTCCAAGCCCAGGGTTTGCACAGCAGAGTCTCGGTCCCCTGGGTTACCTACCAGGGTTTCTTCTGCCCTTAGACGAATTTGTGTCCACTCCTGATGGCTCTGAGCCTGATCTTTTTTTTAAGTACATGTTTGCAGTAGGTAATGTTTACATTTCTTGTGTGGTACATGTATGTAACATGTATCATTTTTTAATTTATCAGTACACGTATATAACACATCATTTTAAAATTATTTTTTATTTGTAAAATAAATGTTTATTGAAAAGCAGCTATACCTCTCCTTCATGGTGATGGACAAAAACAAAATACATCATTTACCAGAATATTAAAATATTAAATAGTGACAAATCTCACCACAGAACTTACAAGGTGTATATGCAGAATATATAATACATCTTAAATCCTTTTTTAAAATTCCTTTTTCTCCCCCTCGCGCTCCCTTTCCTCAATCTCTTGATCCCCTTAACATTTAAGAAAGGTCTACCACCAAAAATAAAAAAAGAAAAAGAAAGATCTATCCTATATTTCCTATTCTTGTTATTTTTTATTTTGTTCTTCTTTTTTTATTTTAAAGAGAGTAAAACTAAACAAAATAAAATGGAATAAAGTCAATCAGAGCAAATCAATGAAAGCAATATAGGACTTCAAAACAAGATAATAGGAAGTCAATAGTGGCTATCATAATGCCTCTTGTTATCTTCAAAATAGCTGCCTGCGTCATCAGATATAAAACAATCAAACAAAACAGAACAGAATACAACCAATCAAAACAAAATAATGAAAGCAATACAGGTCTTCAAGATAATAGAAAATCACCAATTATGGCAACAAAGGCTGCCATAATTGTCCTTTGTTTATATTTGGGTTTCCTATATAAGAGAAATCATGAGATAGTTGAGCTTGTATGATTGATCGACTTACTTCACTTAACACCGTGGTCTCAAAGTGCATCCATTTTCCTAAGAAAGACTCATTTATCTTCCCACGTGGCAGAGAAGAGTGCTCCCTGGTATGTAAACACGTTTGCTTTATCCATGCATCTGCTGACGAACACGTAAGCTGATTCCAGCATTCAGCTGTTATGAATTGTGCTGCTGGGAATGTAGGGATGCCTGCAACACTATAGTATAATGTCTTTAATCCTTTTATATCTCATGTTCCATGCTTTCGTGTACTGTTGAGGTTGAGGGGAGCAGGTGAGGGGTGTGGAATGAGTAGCGGCCAGCAGAGGTTCACCAAGAGCGGAGAGAGGGCTCCTGCCTCGCCTGCCTTGCCCTTCCTGCTCGACTCCGCCCTCCGCCCGGATCCTACCGTTTTCCTCTCCAACTTGCATTGCTTGTTGCCTTCCTGCTGGGTTCCTAACAAGAGAGACAGCAAAATTCTGCAGAACTGGACAAAGGGAAAGGCTGGTGCTTCCCTGTCACTGCTCAGGAGCGTTTCCAACGGCAGCTGCCTCTCTGCCATAGCTCCAGCTCGGTCCTCCCAGTGACGTCCCCACCCTGGGCCCCCTTCCGTCCTCTCCCAGCTTCCCGGGTAGTGTGTTCTTCCAGTGGGACTTCTCACCTCTTCCCTGAACTGAATCACATGTGCTTTGTTTTAAAGACTTAGAGTGATTCGTGTTTTCCTATTGGATCCTGACTGATAAAGCATCTCTGAATCAAAATATGTTTTAGGTAAAAACTTAACTGAGAATGGACTCCCAGGCTGCTCCCATGAAAGAGAACAGATAAATGGACTGCAAGAGGAAGCAACCAGGGAAAGAAACGATGCACCACGAAGCCACCAAACAGATGACCAGACTGCCCAGGAGTCTGCACCAGGAGGTAAGTGTGTGCCCCAGTGTGGAAGGGCCAAGAAGTCCTGGCTGTTAGTGGAGGAGTAGACTGATGTGAGGAGAGAATCATAATCAGGAGGCTGAGGCAGGAGCATCGGACTCAGAGTACAGGAATACTGTCTGATATGCTGATGAAAGAGAACAGGAAGAAGATGGTTAGAAAGAAAAAACTAGCAGCATAGTGTGCATGCCTGTAATTCCAACACTCTGGAAGACTGAGGCAGGAAGATCCCAAGTTCAAGCCCAGCCTGGTCAACTTAGTGACTTTGTGAGACCCTGTCTCTAAATTTAAGAAGAGGACAGTTTCTGGGCATGTAGCATGGTGGGAAAGCCCTGGGTTTAGTCCCTCGTGCTGCTCTCCCCCGCAAAGGGAGGAAGAATCTGGAGAGATGAAAAAAAGAGGTAGAGTTGTAAATCTTCAGTGGAGAAGAGACAGAAATAAAAGGCAAAAGGAGAGCTCAGAGAAGCCATAAAATCGGTGACAAACATCTTCAGGGGGTGGAGGTGCCAACCACGCAGACAGGGCAGTAGGTAGAAATTTGAGAAGAAAAGAAGGGAGATGTCTAACAGAAAGGAAGTCGGGCAGAGCAAGGGCCTCAGAGGTGGCGCTTTTCACCTTCACAGAATCCTTTGAAGAAGTGCCAGTGGATAGTGACATAAGCCTGGAGCCGCCCAGCCCACCGCCCTACGACAACAAAAGTAATTATTACCTACGTGCCGGCTTGGTTTGTTTGTCAGATGTTGTGTATTTGTTGGTGGTTAGCCGCCTTCTAAAAACTTCATCTTACCCATTTTTAAACTGACAAGTTAAAAATTCTATATGTTTGGGGCTGGTGGTGTAGCTCAGTGGTAAGGTACTTGCCTAGAATGTGTGGGATCATAGATTCCATCCGTAATACACAATCACACACACAAATTTACCACAGAGTATTTTAAAACATACATACACTGTAAAATGGCTAAACTGAGCTAGCTACCATATACATTGCCTCACATACCATTTTTGTGGTGAGAACACATTCATTCTCTTAGCAAGTTTTGAGGCATCATTAATGACTATGGTCCTGTGTTATACAATCGACCTCTTGAACTTATTTATTTTGTATCCAAAATCTCAGTCACCTCCCCTCTCTCTCCAATTCCTGGTGAATGGCATACATCTGTGAGTTCATCACTTTTACACTCCACGTATAAGTGGGCCACGCAACATTTGTTTTACTGTGCCTGGATTATTTTATTTAACACAGTGTTCTCCCAGATCTTCATGTTGTCACAAACGTAGGGATTTCCTGATTTTTAGGTTGAAGTGTGAGTACATCACATTTTCTTTATCTAGTGATGTTTAATTGGGTTAATTTGTATCTTGGTTTTTTTGTGTTTTTTTTTTTGTTGTTGTTGTTTGTTTTTTTGGTGTTTTGTTTTGCTTTTTTTTTTTTTTTTTTTTTTTTTTTTTGCTGTTGGTTCGTTTTGCTTTGCTTTGTTTTTTGAGACAGGATCTCACTATGTAGTTCAGGCTAATCTTGAATTCACCATGTAGTCTAGGGTAGCCTTGAACTCACAGCAATCCACCTGCCTCAGCCTCCCAAGTGTTGGGATTACAGGGGTGCGTTACCATGCCCAGCCATAAGTTGAGTTTTGAAAATGATGCTGTAATAGACATAAGCATGTAAACGCTTTTTTGACATGCTGATTTTGATTCATTTCGTTAGATACTCAAGAGTCTGATGCTTGGATCAGTACTGTTCTGGGTTTAGCTGTTTGAGAGACCTCTATACTGTTTCCCAGAATGGTTCTACTAATTTATCTTCTCACCAGGATTGTACAAGGGCTCCATTTACCCTCTATCCACACCAACACTTATCATCTTCTGTCTTTTTGATAGTAGCCCTTCTGACAGGTATGAGGTGATGTCTTGTTATAGTTGTGCTTGTCCATCCTTAATGAACTGTGAGCTTGGCCACCTTTTCATGCATACATTGGCCATTTGTAGAACTGTGTTGATTGAAGTGGTGAAAGTGGGCATCCTTCTCTTTGTCTTGATCTTAAAGCAAAAGTTTTCAGCTTTTCACCATTGAATGCGATGGTTACTGGGTTTGTCATATATGGCCCTTATATACAATGCCAGTATACCTCTGCCTCTCTCATTTCAATGGTTTTTACTTCTTTCCCTAGCCCAAATGCTCGGGCTAGAACTCCCATTACCATAATGGTATTAGAGGTACTGACATATTGATTTGCATTCCTTAATATCTAATTACAGAGAATTTTTACCATGAAAGAATGGTGAATTTTATCTAATGCTTTTCTGCATCTATTGAGGTAATCGTAAGTTTTCTGATCTTCATTATACCAAACATGGTGTCTAGATATTTGCGTCAGTTGAGCCATCTTTTATTTTTGGTTAAATTTGACTTGATGATGGTGAATGTCCGTTTAACGTTCTATTGAATTTGGTTTGCTGGTATTTTGCTGAGGATTTTTGCGTCTGTGCTTACAGGGATATTGACCTGTAATTTTCTTGTAGAGAAAATCCTTGTAAAATCTTCATCTGGCTGGCAAACAGCCTGATTGTATGGGATACAACCTGGGACTGGGGCAGGCTTGGAGGCGCTTCGGGGCCTGAAATGAAGTCCAGCTCTCACTTCCTTCTCCCGAGTGTAGATTTCCTCTGTCCACGCTGTGCTATCTGGAGTAGAGAAGGAATGGCATGGATAACACAAAACTGTCCTCCTGTCAGCTCCAATGCATCTTTTCCTATTTCCTTGCTACATCTGGGTGCTGTCATCTCTCACCTGGCACCCTTTAATCTTAGGAAAGTATTTTCAGCCTTAGAGTTGTTTGCTTGGTATTTCTGGAGGGAATTCTGGGGACACCTATTCCACCAACTTGCACTTCTCTCCAAAATGTTCTAATTATTATATTTCTGCATTTTGAGAGCAAAAATTTTCCTTTATTCTCCCATACTAACTGGCCATTCCAATTCAGACAAGCAACCTTTGTTCCATAGTCTCTGGTTGATTTTTTTAAAAAACAAACCAAAAAAAAAAAATGATACAGAATTTCAAAACAAAATAATACATGTGTCATGTACATGTTCTAACTCCCCAAGAGAATTTTAACCATTGTGTACACTAAACATGTACCAATAAAAATAAAAACTAAAACACAATTAAGAAAAAAAGCAAAACTGGGCATGGTGGTACACGCCTGTAATCCCAGCACTGGCGGGGCTGAGGCAGGCAGATTGCCATGAGTTTGAGGCTGATCTGGGCTACATAGTGGGTTCAGGGTCAGCCTGGACTATATAGAAAGACTGTGCCTTAAAAAACAGATACAGGGGAAAAAAAGAAAAGAAAGAAAAAAGGAAAGGAAAGGAAAGGAAGAAAGGCAGGAACCGTGATGGATGGACCAATTGGCACACCAGGTAGGAGACAGCGAGGCTGGCACCAGTCATAGCAGAGGGACCCACAGAAAATCTCTCTCTCAGCACCAGCGACTGAGCACTCCCTTAATTCTGGTTCCCAAAGTACAGCCCTACTCCTGGCCTGAGATTCAACGATTTTTTTAACATAGAGAAAAAGAGAATGTGCAGAGAAAGCTGTAAAGGAGAGCAAACACCCAGGAATAGAGAAATGGGGGAATGTGCAGAGAGAGGTGCAAAGAGAGAGCCAGGTAGACAATGGATGGGATGTGGCTCCATGAGAGGGGCCCATTCAAGACGCGCTCAACTGGAGTAGAGGGTGGATTCAGAAGAAGGCACAGGGTTGTCCTTGTTATGGAGAGAAGGAGTGGGGTCCCCTTCCCCACAGGGCCCCCGCAGGCGGCTGGTCTCTCCAAAATTCAGCCACCAAACACACATGTCCAGTCCACATCTGACCTTTGTGCTGATTTCTCCCAAAGGCCTCCATTCAGGGTCTGAAGAACATCCTTATCGGGAGGCAGCCTGGGTCTGCCCTGGTCGGGTATTGTGATAAACAATCCCAAAACCTAGGGGTGTCAAGCAACCGACACTGTCTTCACCACTTCTGTGAGTTTCAACTTCAAAATAGTCCTAACTGGTCCTTTTCCCTCCGTCCTCAGTATGAGCACCCTAATCTAGATCCCTACCAGTCTCCCTTGAACTAGAAGAGTCCCTGTCTGGCCTGCACCTCCAGGCTTATTTCCCTTAAGCCCACTGTCTCCACTTTAAAAGCCAGGGCATCCTTGTAGCCCTGGGCAGTCGTGACATGTGAAAAGGCAACTCTCAAGCTGTTTGTTCCCCCATTGCTTGGCATTTACCTCCCAATGCCACGTTCCCACCATGCCAAACTGCCTTGAGTCGTAAAGCTCGCTCTCGCCTACATCTGTACCATTACATATGCTTTTGCAAAACACTTTGTCATCATCGTTTTAAAATAATTTTTATTTTAAAGAGAATAAACCCAAGCAAAATAAAACAGAATAAAGCCAATTAAAACAAGCCAGTGAAAGTGATACAGAACTTCAAAATAAGATAACAGCAAATCAACAATGGTTAACACAATGCCTCTTGTTGTCTTCAAAATAGCTGCTCATACCTTCAGACATAGTAAAATCAAACAAAACAGAACAGTATAGAACCAATAAAAATAAAACAATGAATGCAATAAAGGTCTTCAAAACAAGATAATAGTAAATCCAAAATGGCTACCGTATATATCTTGTTATCTTTGAAATAGCTTCCCATGCCATCAGATATAATTAAATCAAACAAAAAACAGAATAAAACCCAACCCAACAAAACAATGAGAATGATACAGGACTTCAAAACAAGATAATAGGGAATTAACTTAATGGCTACCACATTCAGGAGATGCCCCCAGATGATATACTACTGACTAGTGTTATCCACTGAATAGATGATTCAACTACCAGCTTTAGACCTGCAAAGTCAGTGAAACACTAAATACTACAAGCATTAAATTGTATCTCACCTCAGGAGCCATCTTCACAGTCTGTGCTTCTCCAGATCAGCCAGTTGCCTATGGCAGGTGACAGGGCGTGGGGGCGGGGGGTTGGCTCTTCTTGTCTCCCAGCCCATGTGCCAGAAGGGGCTGGCATCTGGTTCTCCCCCAGTGACCTGCACATGGCGCCAACTTGCAGGGAGGGCCTGCTTCTTGTTGACTTCTTGTTCTCTTCCCCTGCAGTCTGCGAATGGCACTGACTCATGGGAAAAGGCTGGCATCTGGCTCTCCCTGCAGCAGCCCACGCATGGCACCAATTCACAGGGAAGACTTGTCCCCTTTTTAAATTAAAAATGTACATATGCTAGAACTCAGGAATTACATTCTAAAATGGAAACTACCAGAAATGCACACTATGTTCAACAAAGCCCACAGGAAAGAATGTTCACAGCTGCATTATTCATGAAAGACAACACGTAAAACAGTGTATTTGTATAAATGCACTTATGACTTATTCATCTCATACAGTTGTGAAAATAGCTACACAAAATGACCCCAGGCAACTCTCACAAGCATGTTTCTGTCACCCTGGAGTGGGGAGAAAAATGATTCAATTTCTATAAATTACATAAAAGTCCAAATCTGCGCAGGAATTGGAAATCAAGATGGTGACCAACTTGGGGAAGAACGGTAGGGACTGTTAGTGGGGGTGTCAAGAGTCTTTGTCATCTGCCTGTTGCCCAAAGCAACATTGCTTATTTTGTGATCACTGAAAATCCCCTCTTATTTATGTGTATTATGCTGTGGCCATGATCTTTATTTTTGAAAAAGCAAAATTGGCCTTTCAAAAGAGCAGAGCCCCAAGAAAAGGGAGAGGGGAAAACAGAATAGCACCAACTGGGGCACCAGGAGTCTGAACTAAGCGGTAGGAAGGAGAGAGGGGTGCGGAGGAAGCTCCCCCCCAAACTGTGAAAGGTTGCTAATGGCGAGTGCCATGGAGGAGGGAAATGAGTGTTCTCTTCATTTCATCCTGGCCTAGGAACAGAACAGCACAGCCAGGACATCCAGATGAAATCCTGTTCTGTGCCTCTGGTAGACATAAAGAAGGAAAAGCCGTTTTACTCGGAAGATGAGCAGCGAACCCGCACCAGGGCTAAGTACCAGGCAACTGATGTCATAGGTAAGGCTCCAGGGAAACCGGCTCGGGTCAGGGTCTCGGGTCTGTCATCAGTGTCCGCCATCAGTGTCCGCCACGGGCTGGAGCAGAGGGCAGGAGGCCAGTGCCTGTGTGAGCTGACGTGAGCAGGGAGCACAGCAGAAGGGCCTTAGAAATCGAGGAAATTCCAAGGAAAAAATGGAGGTAAAAGAAAATAATTGATGTCCAAAAGACTCTTTGGAGAGGAAGATAAGAAGACAAGAGGTGGTTCTAGAAAACAGAGGGACATCAGGAAATCAGGGTGTTCATGAGAGGAGAAGTGGAGAATCCCAGCAGGTCAAGGAGGCGTCAGGAGAGGCCATCGCCAGACAGAGGCAGAAGCAGGACCAGGAGGGGAAGCACGGCAGGAGGGAAGGTAGCAGGTTGGTGGCAGAGGGAGACAGAAGCAGCAAGGAGGGAGGAGGAGTGGCTGTGGGCTGGGCCAGCGGCCTGGACAGCGTGCTCAGTTTCTGGATTAGGCAGTCGTTCAGGGAGTCAGCCTGGCCTCCTGGCGCTGCCTTCGCTGTGGATGCTTATGGGGTCTCCTCCTTTGTGCAGTCATCAGCAGCGACGACTCCGAGGAACTCAGCGATGAAGACAACTTCCCCAAAGCCTCTACCTCAGCCCTGAGAAGCCAGTGTGGTAAGGAAAGAGCAGGGCTCGGGCTGAGGGACAGTGAATTCAGAGCTGCTGTTTGTGTGCGTTCATTCAATGCAGTGGAGCCAGGGCATCCTGGGACCCTCGCCTCTATGCTGATTTTCTTAAACATTTAGGAAATGCAGGGCAATTATCACACATTTATTTTGAGTGATTAGTGTCACTAATATTTAGTATATATGCCCTATACATTTATATATATCTATATTATTTATATTGGTATAAGCTAGCAATATACAGTGCCTATATTTATATAGGATGTAGGTTAGCAAAATAATGACTTTGGTTTTTTTTACACTAATTATTTGCCATGCCATGATGTGATACACTTACCCAGTGGTTTCAGTAAACAATAGAAGGCTAAAAATTCCTTTGTTGCAAGAGCATAATCTTTATCTGGCTGCAAAACTGAGATAGTGTCAAAAGAAAACCTGCTCAATTCTCTAATGTTAGTAAAGGTAAAGATTTGAGGTAGTATTCTGAAACCCAAAGTATTGTTTTGACAACATTTTTCAGCAAGTAATGGCCCGTGGAGTGATTTTTCAAAACACCTTTGCAAATAATTTATTATTTTTCCCTTTATAAATCCTCAAGGGTAAACAGGGTAGACACTCTAGTTTCCTAGGTGAGAAAACACAATCACAGAACTATTTGAAAGTCCTCTCCAAAGTCTCAGGAACAGTTAAAGGAAAAAAATCAGTCTAGCATGCTGGATTCTGAGTCATTTACTTTGTAAAAATGTGACATAGAAGTGATTATCAAAGTGTGTTTTCTTAGTCCACTGAAGCCTGAGTTATTACAAAATCTAAAACTTTGTAAAGCACATATTGCAGGTTTGTTTTCCCTTTTTACTTCCTAAATCTAGAGGATTTTGGAGACATTCCTCTTTAGGGAAAACACACTAAGAAAAATCTAAGCACACATGGTCTAGAGGTTACAAAAGAACAATGTGGTTACTGATGCCTCCATCCCAGCTGCTCATGATATTATCTAAAAGGAAAATATAAATTTGCGATTGTTTCCAGACAGTGCATACTTTTATCTTAGTGTAGCTAAGAGCGCTCCATGAAATTGTCCCCAACTACATACATGTCCCCATACTATGTCTACAGCTCAAACACAAGAGCATTCTCCACCTTGTAAAAGCCTCAGGGAGGCACCAGGTGGAGAGCACAGACGTGCTCGTCAGCTCTCACCCAGGTGTTCAAGGTCACGTGCATGAAGAGCAAAAGTAGAGGTGACGGGAGGGGATGGAAATGTGGGACGGCAAGTAGAAAGGATCTGAAATAAGAGGGGCAAGTTCAAGGAGAAAGGGCCAAGCAACCCCAACTGTCCCTTGCCAGTGAATTGTCTTCACTACGGGGGACAAAAGCGGAGTGTCACTAACCACCCAGGCAGGTGAGTTAGAAAGGTATGGGTTTGCAAGATTGTTCCTGTCATCCTGTAAGGGATTTATACTGAGTTGCTTTCTGGTTCACAACTGAAACCTCTAAAGAATTCTACTTTTGTTTATAAAAAATTTTATGGGGCTGAGGATTTAGCTCAGTGGCATAAGCACCTGCCTTGTAAGCAGGCAGTCATGAGTTCGATCCCCAGTACCAATAAAAATGAAAAAGACCAAAAAGAAAAAAGAAAAAAATATAAAAAATTTTATTAGTGTATGTTTGTGATACACGCTGATTACAATCAGCCCGGAGGGCTGATGTGTATACATGTTGCACTCTAAGCCGCCCTCTTCCCTCCTGCCCCACCCTTTCCCAAGCTCCCTTCCCATCTCTACAAGGCCTGTGTCCCCGCATCTTAACGTGGCGCAGGTTTTCCGCCTCCTAAACCACTTGTATTTCAAGTCTGTGTCTTCTGTTATTCAGAGATCAGAATCCAAGGCCTGTTAGAATCAAATGAGGAGAAAGAAACCCAAGAAGCTACACACTCTTATCAGATTAAACCAAGTAAGAATGTCAAAATTGTGGCTCCTCAGCTACGGAATATCAGAGCTCTGCTGTCTGATGAATTTTATTCTGAGCATTCCCTGAACACTTTTGATTCTAGAACTTCTAGAGAACCGTTTTCTACATTTATCCTCCCTACACTTTTGGGAAATGACAGGTGTCAAGAAGGCATTATAAACTGTTGTTTAACTGAGGAAGTTCAGTAGATTGATACAATGGAAACAGTAAAAATTATGTTAACGTTTTTACTACACAATCTATTAACACTAAAGAGTCAAAATAATGTACTTATTCTCTATCCCCATTTGCCTTGTATAGATCATAGTAAGCACAGTATTATTCTATGCATTAATATTATCTTTAGTTACAAGCGTAAAGTCTTCAAAGAATAATTTGTGTTGTTATTCAATTTTTGATTGGATTCAAATGACTTCAGATCAACTACGTTCAAAACCAAACTCTAGTTATGTGATTGGCTTGTACTGGGGCTTTTATAGACTTTTGTAAATAAACCTTCATCTTGTCATTACGAAAACCTCAACAGGGAAGTATGATAATTAGGTGACCCCAACTTTATAGATGAGAAAACTGCACTGAATAATGGGGAAGAGTCACAAATTTACATAAAGAATTCTTTTAAAAAGCCGGGTTGGATCCCAGCCTTCTGACCTTGGGCCTGCAGGACCAGATGGAATGGAGGGAGAGAAGAAAATGTTCTTCCACACTGTGTTAGGATTGCAAGCCCATTTGCTATGTGAGTTGTCACAGCACCTGGCATTCGTGTGCAAATAATGATTTGCTCCCTTTTTCTTTACAGAGCCCATGAATTTCAGAGATTCGCCTACATTCAGAAGCCCTCTAAAACGAGGTAATAGAAAATATAGTTATCAGTGAACCGTACTTTCTGCAAGAGATTAATTTTAATTCTTTGTTATGACCTTCAAACTTGAATACAAATTTTGTTTAATTTTAGATGGTTCATATGTTAATTTTTTATTCGATAGGTAACATAAAGTACTTTAAAATATGATCCCAAAGAAATCAATGACTCAAATATAATAATTTTAAAAATAGTTTTTTCTTGATGTTTGCATGGGAGGAGTAGTCCTTATAGTCCAGCTCAGGTTGCAGGGGAGGAGGACACAGGAACCTGGAGGCCACCTGGATTGGAGAGGCAGGTCATGGAGGTCTGAGGGAGGGACACTCTTGCTCTGGAATGTCAGGCTTTCTAAGTTTTCCCCAGTTCTCTTTGTGTAGGACGTTCTTCTCTCATGTTGGTTTCCTTATTGGACACTGAGTCCTGGGTACATTTGATCCTTCTGCAGAGAGAAGAAGGATCTATGTCTCTTCAGAATCCAGTGAGGAAGAGATGCTCCCCAAAGTCACGTTCTGCACCCCAGAAAGAAGAAGTGGGCAGAATACAATGGGTAAGACCTGTCCTCCCCAGCTCCAGGACATTGAGAGCCTGAGTTCAGAGCTTGAGTTCCCTGCTGTAGTTTACTCTGAGAAACGCCACAGAATGGTATGGGCAACCTTGGGAGCCCCATTTCCTCCAGATTTTTGTTTTGTTTTGTTTTATTCTGTTCTGTTTCACTTTGTTTTTTTGAAACAGGGTCTCACTATGCAGTCAGACTGGTCTTGAACTCACTATATAGTTTAGGCTGGCCTCACACTCAAATCCATCTTCCTGCCTCAGCCTCCTGAGTGCTGCAACTACAGGCATGTGCCAGCATGTCCAACTTTTAGATATTTTGAAAATTGCAGGGAATTTGTAAATCCAGGCTTAACAAGTTGACTGCAGTTGAGTGACAGCGTGCCTTTTATTGTATACCGGCAGACTTATTTACACCGCAGTGTTAGACTGCCAGCACACTTTCCACTTCTGCCCATCTTCTGCTCTGTAGAGAAGAGGAAGACATAGTCTGCTATCGCTTGGTTTGATTACAGACTTGCTTAAAATTCAGACCTTGGCTACTCTAATTATTGGCATAAAGAAAGCCTTTTGGTTAAACTCATAGATTTGACAGTTGATATCCAACATGATAGTGGCCAAACAGTGATAATCGGAAATGTTTTTGTAAATAAGTCTCTTTTTATCTTTAGAACAACCACAAAGTAAGCAAAATAAATGTTTCTCCCTTATATTTCATAGATGGGGAAACTTTAGTCCTTAAACTGTTAAGGCTTTTCTACACATTATATGTAAGAGGTCACTGGAAGAAGCAAAATTCACACCTTGGACCCCATAAATGTCTGATCCTTTGTTCAAAACCGTGAAACCAGGTGTATTTTAGAATTCAAAAATGCTTTAATATTTTAGGAAGACAATGTGTTTTGTAATCTGTGTTGAAAATATCTCCAATAGAATCCAGGGTCAGAATCCCATTCTTAAATATGCCATCTTCATGTTTCTGCAAAATAGTGCATGACATTCATGCCAAATGTGATCATATTTTACAGGGACTCATGGCAAATGCGAGTCCAGATTCACTGCTAAATTAGTTAGATGCAACCTACAAATGCATGTTGGTTTCAAAATGCCGTTGATTTTGCAGTCAGTACTAAATAGTTTTGGGCCTCTGCCCCATTTGGTGGAGATCTGTGTTCTTAAAATGAAAAGAGAATTAATCATATAGCATCTTCGTAGTTCAAATCCTGACCACAGTGTAGGTATTCATAAAACATATCACCCTTGTCATTACAGATAACTGATTTTATATTCCTTTTCTTTCCATGTGGAGGACACAGAATTGGAAAAGATGTCAGGCCAATTAAAAACTCTAGATGTAACAAATATTCCTCTTTGCTACACAAGATTCATTCAGAAAAGTCTTCATACTCCTTGAAATAACAAGGTAGATTTGTTAGGAGTTTTAGGTGATTCACATTACACATTTTGAATTAGTTGGGCTGGGCTCCTTGGGATCACACATGTGCCTGAAAGTGCCCCACGACACAATGCAAGTTTAATTTTCACTCGTATAAAGAGGATGAAATAGTGCCCAAGTGGAGCCTGAGCTCTGCTCAGCACAGTCACTTAGGGCCGAGTCGGTGGAGGTGCTGATACCTTTCGAAGGTTGCTTCCACGACCCCCCAAATAAAAAAAGAGGTAGAAGTGGACATGTGTGCAACCAAGTGGGAAGGCTAAGAAATTCTATAAGAGATGGTGACAAAAGAGAGAGTATGTCATGGCGAAGTTGTTTTTGAGCCCAGCCTTGGGGCTGGTTCCTGGAGCACCTGATGGTAGAATACTCCTAACCCTCCTACACAAGCTTCCGTCTCCAATTTCCTTTTAAACAAATGTCTACTGGATGGGTTCCTGAGACCGAGACCAGGAGCATGAAGGTATTTTCCTTCCTCTCCAGGGCTCAGCAACGGTGGCTCTGCCGCAGTGAACCATAGAGAAGAGAGTCCAGAAAGCCCTCAGAAGTGGGTCAGGTAAAGAAGATTAGGAAGCCAAGCCTTGGCCTGAGGATGTCAGGAATCTGAATTTAAAGCAACCCGTTTCTGAGTACCCTGACTACCTTGCATCCAGTCGACCCTGGGAACTCCTCTTACTTTAGGAAACGGAAGGAGGCAGAAAATTATTATAAACTCATGTTACTGAGATGAGTCTTACCAACTGAATGTATGTAATTATATATTGTTATTATAGAAGAAATAAATGACAGAATGATGTTATCTTTTTTAATACCCACTGTCCTGACTAGTAACACAAAGATCCTAGGTTCCTATTGATATAACGGTCATTTGTCACTTGTATTTGTAGAAACTGCAAAACGAACGGGGCCTCCAATGTAATTAAAGACAGAAATAAAAACTTTGGATGAATCATTCTCAAATGTTAGTATAGTTTTTGACAGACGTCCTTTGTTGTGTAATTGGATTATATTGTGTGACTTCAGTGTCCTCTGACAAATATTCTGTCATCATGAAACCCTTAGGATTTAAGCAGGCTAACGAATACTTGGAGTCCTCACTTTGGGCTAAGGCAACTGGAAAGGTAAAAGCCTAAAGGCACAGTGGGAACTAGCAATCCCAGTATCTCCCAGTAAATTATTATTGTGTATAGCAAATAGGAAGAACAGAGCTATGCAATATGATCATATTTTTAAAATATTCACAGGGAAACGCAACAGTACCTGACTCAAAAAAAGCTTATTTAACAACAAATAATTTACATAATGTATTACATAAAATACATGTGTATATATAATATATGTGTATAAAAATATATATGTATATTGTGGTAGTCAGGGATTGTCAGGAGAACAATTAGAAACAGGACACAGAATTTATAATATTATTTATAATGGTCACCCAGAGTTAACACATGAAAATGCAGGAAATCTATCCACAACACTAAAGACCCAGAGTATTCAGCCAAGGGCCTGGATCCCACAGCAATGTCCTACATGAGTCCAGATGAAAACCTAGAGCCCATGACATTGCCTCCCACAAGTCCAACTGGAGTTGTAGAGCTCGCAAGATGGACTCACACCAGTCTGTTTTATGGATCTGTGCTGGGAAGGCCCAAAGGTCAGCGGTGGAAACCAGAAAGTCCATGCCAGTGGGGTGAAGGAGCTGTGCTGGTAGGTTGAGGGTTCTATGCTGGAGCTGAGAAGTCACACTCACAACAAAGACCAGGGCTGTCCTGAAAAGCACCACAGCCATCCTCAGCGACACGGAAACCCCAAGCTCCTCTGACGATAAGCACAGTCAAGTACATGCCAGAAAGCCAACATGACAAGTTTCTCCTGGAGATTAAACAGCACACATCTTCCCCTCTGCAGCCAGGAAGTGATGCTCGATGTACAAAACGAACCACAGCCACTCTCACCAACAAGCTCCCGAGCTCCTCTGATGACAGTGGTGGAACTCACACTGGGGAAGCCAGACAAGATGAGCTCAAGGAGAACAGAGGGCTCAAAACAGCAACACTTAGAGAAACCCACAATGCCTTGCTTCTCCTTCTCCACATCTCTATGTATGCTGACAACTTTCCTCTGGTGGAATATCTACGCTCAGTGCCATGCTGATTTAATTCAGCTGGTGTTAAGTTGCCCACCAGTTTTTGTTTGTTTGTTTTGGTACGGGGATCGAACTCATGACCTTGCACTTGCCAGGCAGGTGCTTATACCACTGAGCTAAATCCCCAGCCCTGCCCACTAGTTTTTAATCCATAACATATATACAGAGTAATGTGTAATGTACATATATATGTGTGTGTAATATATCCATATATATGTATAATATACATAGTCTGTCAAAAAATGTATGCATCAGGAAAAGAAAGTTTTGTGTAAATATTTTAACACTAAATTTGTGTAAATATTTTAACACAGCATAAGATTAATTAAAGTTACCTTTGACCTCTACATTAACAGGAGATGCTTAAAGTGGTAGCCATTAACTTCCAGACATTTGTTAGTACAGTGAACTGCTGAAGTGTGCATACAATTTTTTGAGCATTATATATATATATGCCAAAACCAGCAAATATTTGTGTGTGTTGACCTAAATGCATTTCAATTGAGAGGGAAAGATAACAGTCACAGTCAAACAGACAGACAGACTGGGTAGGAAGGGAACTGCCTGTAGTTCGTATACAAAGTACCTAGAAGGATAGATTAATAGAGAAACTAAGACAGAACAAAGATTAAGAACATCACTGAAAAAACAATACAGGGGACTGGAAAAGTCAGAGACATAGGTTGGCAAGTTCAAAGAGACAGAGTTAGACACGTATAAAGGCAGGGCAGTGGCAGGAGCTAAAAAGGAGAATGAAAAAGGTGGAAAAAGAGACCAAGTCATTGGTGGAGCGGAGGTGGTCGCTGAGCAAGTGAGCTGTTTTCTAAGCTCACTTGAATGCTTCACAAAGCTCACATTACTAGCTGAGAAGTGTTTCCTGGTCACCCCTGTAGTTTATAGACTGTTGTTTCCTTGTTTCTCTTCAGTGTGTTACCAAATTAAGACCTTCAAATGAATAGGAGAGCCACAAGTGATTAGGCCAATTAGCATGTGGCAGAGAGGCCAATTATGAATCAATTATTCTTGTTTTCAGAGTGTAATTGAATTATACTTTGTTACTTCAGTGTCCTTTGACAAATAGGAAAAATTCTTCCTTATCTCTCCTCAACGTTAACACACACACACACTCCTGTCCACCCCCCCCCCACTCTAACTGGTTCTGCAGGTTTGTGGGGCCAAATGAGAAAGAACAGTGGGGCTCCCAGAGGGAAGGGGTGATGCTGAGTGAATAATGTAAAGAAAAAGAATGAGAAAGATGGGCTGGGTCATCCCATGAGAAGATATCTAAAAAAATTTCAAAAATTTCCCTAAATGGGCACTGGTCCAAGTATAGCAGATTGGGACTTTAGGGGAGAAAGGTGATGATTTCCTCTTGGAAATTCTACCAGAAACATGGAAGTTTGTCCATGACAGGCTTGCAACATAGAAAGCTCCCAGGGGACTGGCAAAGGTAATAGAGCTGGCAGTGTGGTCAGTGTCCAAAGAATGGGCATCTGGTGATGATGATGAAGCAGTGATCTGTGAGGTGAAACTGAATACAGGTGAAAGAAATGGGGCTAAAGGCAGAGGCTGACACTGTAAGAATGACCAAAAGGTCAAAGAAGGATGCCTCAATATTAAAACCAGACCCATCAATATGAATGTAGAAAAATCAGTGGAATGAGATATATACAGGAGGTGACCAAGAAGAGACATAGGAAACTATGCAGAGAAAGTGTGAAAAGATGAGGAAAGGTGTGCAGAGGTGCAGTAGAGAGAGGGAAGAGCTGGAGACATTGCTGAATCTGAGATAGACATGAAACAAGCAACTTGATGCAAGGTGTGGCTCGCAGTGGCAGTAAGGTTTCAAAAAGCGTTCACAGGTATTTAATTGGCCTCTGTCATTCTCTCGGATTGCACAAAATCCCACCCAAGCATTGCATCCACTCCTAGGGCTTCAGTCACCATCCACAACCGAATGGTTTCTAGCAGACCTCTCCAGCCAGCCCGCCTGCAAACTGTCAGGCGGCCTCTGTCCGAGGTCCTGAAGGCCTTAACCACCACTTGAATGTGTCTCTTGAGACCTTCAAACTGCAGATTTAATGCTCCTAGAAGTGCACACATCATCTCCCCACCACCACGTCTTCCTGCCTCCAGAATTCTCTGTTTCTTAAACAAACTTAATTATCACTTTCCTACAAGTGTAAATTCTCAAAACCATCATGAAGGGAAAGGACAGATGCATAGGGAGGGATGAACAGCAATTCCAGAAGTTCAGCCACTCTTTGATACTGGAGTGGGGAGGAAGGAGTCCCTACTGCTGGGAGGGAGAAGGAGCTTTAGATGGAAGGGAGCACAAATAAATGTTTTTTACAAATCACAATTTAGGAGCAGAACTGCAAGAAACTGGAAATAAATGTTTCTGTGTCATGTGCTGTTCAGATCGTGTGCCAGAAGGCCAAGAAGCAAGGATGGAAAGTAGGCAAGCATCTTCTAGAAGGGGTAAGGTGCTCAAAGATCCCGGGGTGTAGGAGGCTCAGAGCTGGCACAGACACGGTATTACTGCGGCAGGGGTCAGAGTTCAAGAAGGACATTGGGCAGATGCTGGGTCACCAACAGGACATGGACCCTCAGGCTCCAGGCTACTGGATATTAGGACTCTGAGGTCAACTTCTCATTTCTCACTTTACTTGGCGGTGAGACATGGTGACCAGGGACAAGTCCAATCCAGAAGCTAGTTCTCTGTATTTGCTTAACCCAACCCTTTTGGGAACTACAGAGAAGAAGAAATGGATGGAAAGTTATGTTTCACAAGATTGGCTCTGTTGGTTCTAAGTGGGTGCTGTAGTCCAAATACACTGGTAAAAGTGGCAGTGTCTTCTCCATTACATCAGCACGTCAGTACCAAAGTGTTGGATTTACATGATTTCTGTCCTCACCTATGGAATAAACAAAGCCACGATCTTCAGCTGGTGGATCTGGCAGATGAAAGCGTCACTTTTCACAACCTTAGAAAGGCTGAGAAATAGAAATGGTCCTGGTCTCTGTCAGGAAAGATAATCCTGATAACTATTCTTACCTAAAAGTGAAGGATGTCCTCCAACATGTAATTGATGTACATAGTGATTTTCTGTTAATTCCTACAAATGTTCTCTCTAATCTTCATAAGTAATTAAGAGATTCTGCAAACTCTTAGAGAACTAAAGGAAGATCTTAGGCTACCATTCTGTACCTGTTTGTTTTCAGAAGGAAGCCAGAGAAATGATAGTGTCTGTAACCTTCATTGATTAGCTACAGTTCTCTAATCACAACCTGTCACTTTCTAGATGCTGCGGATGTAGGAAACAATTCTACTTTGGGAAAAGACATTGGGAAAAAAAGTAAGAACAAATAAGAATTTGTTTGATTTTTATGTCACAAGCAAACTATTTTTAATGCTGATTTACCACTATTTTCTCCATCTTTCATATTACAAAAATTAATGCCTTGTAAAGTAACAACTTATTTCTTTCAAAATGCTTATACCTTCATGTTTTTTACCCTGATTTAAAAATTCATTTTCTATAGTCATTGGTCTACCAAGAATATGTCTATGCATATATAAATATACGTTGGGATATAGTTTTATTTCTTAAACAAGGTAATTTGATATACTTTCCTTACATGCATATTTAAATTAAACTAGTATAGTGAAATAATGAGCATATTTAACTTTTTTCGTTGAATTATTAAAAATGTTATTTTTGAGTTACTTTAATATACATTATTTTCATCGTGGCAGAGGCTTTGCTTTTGTTTCTAGTCATGAGTTTTTCTTCCCAGAAGTCTTTGTTCCAGAGTGACATTGGAGTTTCCTGGTAGAACATTGAATGACTGTAGAAATCCTTTCATCATGTGCATATTAATTCTGGGTCATGCATGTTGCTGATAGTTTGTACAGTAGAGTCTAAGGAAATTTTCAATTTTTCGTGGTCAAATTTGGCAGTCATGGTTTCACAGACGCCTACATTTCCTATCATACTTACAGTAGCTATTTCTACCTCAAACCTTAAAAATACTGTTTTGTATTTGATTATAGAATGTTTGTGATGGATCTGATCACTTGAAATGTTTACACCTATCTTCCATGTGGGAATTCCCTCTTTTTGTATATGTGAGATGGGAATTTAAAAATATTCCTTATGCTACTGCATTATGGTTTTAGTTGCCACTTGGATCATGCAGTGATTGTACCTGTGTATATATTGTTTTTTCTTTTGCAATAGAAGGAACTACGGAACAGAAAAGGGTCTCAGAGATGGGAGATCCTCCTAGGGATGAATTTTAGTATAAATTCAAAAGGACCTGTCCTCACCCTCTTCCCAAGTTCTATGAAGCCTCTGATCTTAAATTCATTGAATTGGCAGGTTAATAAGGAACAATAGAGATATTCACTCATTTATTTGTGTTTCATCTAATGTTCTCCTGCTAGGAATGTTCTTTATATAACTCGTGCAATTTTTAATAATTTTCTATGTCATATAAATTGTGACTATGAACATGTTTTTCTTCTACATAGTAATGGGAGTGAGCTTTAATGAGACAAAACTCTCAAAATTTTTATTTAAACAGGAAATATCTGGTCATTTTATTACCTAATTACATGTGAGGAGCTCGGCATGCTTCTAATATAATATAAAATCTGATGAGCATTTATACAGTTTAGGAATCCAAATGTAGCCTAAACTATTATGACCAAAAATTATTAAGTAAGGCAATCAGCCAGAATTACAAGTTTCCTTGAAAATCAGTTTCACCAGAAGTGGCAATCATTTCTAATATGGGAAAGTATTCAAGATCACCTTCAAGCTCCGACGACAACTTTAGAGAATAGAGAAAATCGTTAATGATTATGAATAGGCACATGGCTGTACTTGACAGCAGAATCAGGCTTAACTTTAGGGCACATCAACCTCGTGCATCGTGATACTGGGCCCTTCCTGCGCCTCCTCCGTTTCTCCCACTGATCTTTCATGTGCGTGTGAGAACTACAGCTGCTTAGCAAGGTCTGCATTTTAGTACCAGGGTTTACACCAGACAAATGATGACCGAGCTTACACGGCCCTTCGCCACCTGCTTGGTGATTAGCTCTGGCTTGTGACGAAGCTCTGGGTGTTGCAAAGGAGCAGAAGAAACGTGAGCCACTTTTGACTGCTTTAAAAGCAGCAGCATAACCAGAGTTGTGCCTCCAGAGGTGGGGCAGTCCTCCAATTTGTTGCTCTCCAACATATTAAAATATATTGACCTATTTAAATACAGAATTAAAATGACGTACAGAGAAAGCATTTGTATTTCACCGTACTCGAATATTCGCCTTGCTAAAATGGGGTAAATTATTCCAGTATAATTTTCCTTTTGGCTGGCTAAAAAGTGTGCTGCGGGAGGTGGGGGAGCGCGCCCTGCACCCCTCCCCACCCCCACTGCAGCGCCACCCCCACCCCCACCCGCACCACGTCTGGAAGGGGTGAAAGGGCTGAGGCCTCCCCCATTGCTACTTTTGCAATGGTAGGAGTCCACGTGGCCAGTATCTGAGGAAGTGTGTGTTTTCCTTCTAGTCATTACTCTCAGAACTAGCTTTCTTAGAATTCCCTCTAAAAACAGGCAATTATATTATCTTTGAGATACCACCCATTAATTTCCCACCCAGATTTATCAAATCGGTGTGTGTACAGTTTTTTTGCCCCTGTTCTGTCCAATCTTAAGCCATTACCTTATTTTTCAGTTACTGAAAATGCTTCACATTTAGTCCTGGATTTTTCAAAATAATATCCTTTGACTCCAAGCTCTAAAATGCACGAAGAGTTTGCTCTACCGCCTCTGGTTGGTTATTACTGTCCCGTATTTTGTTGTTATACCATTTCTAGATTACCAAATGAAAACATTTTCCTCCTAAATTTGGCTTAATTTTTCTAACGGGTTTATTTTTCTTCTACTTACTTCTTAATTGTTAGACACAGAGACCGTAGCTTTCCCTTTCCGAGGCCTCCCTCTGAATCCCAGCAGGACACTGCTGCGTACTGAGACCCACCATTGCTTACCCTCCTTTCTTCTGCCTCCAGCTTCCGCCCGACTTGTTCGGTTTTCTTGGGAAAACCTCATGCAAATAGGTAAAAGTATCCAGTAAATAACTGGCACTGTGTGAATGTGTGGTTTGTGTGGTTATTTTTCTATGTGATGATAACCTCAATAAGATGTTTCTAGTAGGGATTAAGGCCTGTGGAAGTGAAGTGGAATGAACGTGAAATGTTAGAAGACTTCAGAATAAACCCCTAGAAGGCTATTAAAATATAAAAGCTCACATCCTTTTATGATTTTAAATGATTATTTTCTTTTTCTGTTTGAAGGGACAAAGAAAGGATACACATGTAAAATAAAGGCTCTCCAGAAACGTAAGAGGAAACGTAAGGATTCACTCCGTTTAGCGTCCCATGGCCCTGATCTGCCAGGTACCACATGGCCATGGCTCCAACCTCTCCTGTGGGCCATGAAAACGTCAAAACTAACAGATTAGATGGCACATCATGTAACAAGGAGACCCCAAAATACAGGCTTATGCCAAACAATTTTCATCTCTTTCACATAACAGCAGAGATGTACTAGGAAGACCCTGGCTTCCTTGACATGTGGCTGCCATTTCTGGGTCCAACAAGTTCGCTCTGCTTGTCATGGTCTCCCAATCAGTGGGAGTGGGAGAAAGGGACAGAATATTCTGCTCTCATTCCAGTGGCCAACACTCAGTCACACAGCCAGAACTGGTGAGTGAAGCTGAGAGATACAGTTCCGGCTTGGCAGTGATGGGTGCAGTTCTGACTGCTCTTGTGGAAGAGATAAAGAATGACTTTTTGGGTGGCAAAAGTAATATGCCTGACTGGCCTCCACGTTTGCACCCAAGGTCCTGTGCTCCCTTAAATAAGGAAGAAAAGGTAGACTCTGCATGGGTTCAAACCTAGGCTTTTTGTCACTTGAGACTCTTTGGCAAGAGCAGGAGCTGGAACCTGGAATGCTACATGGTCACACTTCTGACAGCAGCTAGGGGACAGGAGAGTAGGAGCGACTGTCAGTAGTGTTTAAAGAATACAGTGCGCAATAGAATGGGGAGGAAGAGGCAGAAGAAACAGGAATGGATAAGCAGGAGTCCTGCCACATCAGATCAAAGGCGGGGAAGCAGACAGCTATTTAAACCAAACTCAACCCCAGGGCACACCATACACTGCGCACGGAAGGCAGAAGCAGTGTGATACAGTGTTCCGTGCTCTGCACCAGCTTCTGAGTTCTCTATCTCTCTTGCACTCTTCCTTTTCTTCTTTGTCTGTTTTCCTTCCCTCTCCCATTCTCTTTATGTTGCTCTTGGATACTTCGTTTCTTTTGTTCATTTTTTTCACCTCATATGAAATAGCTCTAGAATATTTCTGTGGCACTGTAGAGGTGGCACGGCTTTTTCCTCCAGAGTTAAAGCATTTTGGGATTTGTTCACTTCCATTGCTTTTGATGATTTCTGTCTCCTATATACACACAGATGCATTTAGTAAGTAATGCAGTGTACCGTCCCAAAATTGCAGTTCAGAGTTTGGGGCCTCATTCCTTCGCAGATTTTCTCTTAGAACCCAACCAACAATTGTTTATGAAAACTCCTGAAATTTCACTGAAATTGCAATTATCTCCTGCAATTGTTTTGTTTGTTTGTTGTTTGGTGGGAGGTTTACAAATAGCCAATCCAAGAGTGTTATTCAGTTCTCCTTGCTGCTGATTGGCTGCTGCCCTGCAACCCAGCAGATGTGCTGGCATTCCTGCATTATAACATTGCTGGACCACATGTGGCTGTCTGGAGTAGGTCTCTCAGTTTGTTCTTCTTAAAGCTCTATGAGCCCTAAGACGCTGTCAAAACGCCCTGTAATTTCTCAGGCTTTATTATTACAATATTTTATTAAGTTAAATCACATAAACTATGGGAGACATAGCAGATTTGGGGTTTAAACTATAAAAATAGGCATTCCAAGCATTTTACTGACCATATCCAAAAACTGTGGTTTTTTACAATTCGCAGGTGCTCTAGGAATGTAGCCCTTATGGACTTTGGGAGTCCGTTGTAGATACACATGTATAACAGATATCATACATGTGTGCCCCACACGCCTCCCATTCATTTTATAGAGACCTCACTGTGTGTCCACCCCATCCCACCATTTCTGAATGAGAGCATGTTCCCCTAAAATAGGATTTCAGTGACCCTTTTGTTTTTGCTATCTTTAAAGCTTTCTGGAGTTTGACCCTCTGTGTCTACAAAGTCCCCATAAGCAATATTCTTTTGGTCAGTTTCTTAGATCCTAATCGTCCAAAATTATGTGAATAAGGTCTTTTGGGTCACTTTTCTTATATTCACAGCCAAAATGGGTCTACTGCTAAGTCACTGAACTATGTCTCATCTGTGTAGCTCATAATCTTTTCTCTCTCCATACAAAGTCTTCTCTGGCTGTCAATGATTTCTTCCTCTCAACCAAAGAAATCTACCATGCTTCCCTTACCTTTGTAATTTCTGAAGGTCTCAGTTTCTTCATCAGCTTAGTGGGATAAAAAATGTTCCAATCTCTTACATAAAGTAATATATGTAAACATCTTATACAAATAATGTTCAACAGACATATTAAACATCTTATTAGACATATTAGATGTCTTATTAGAGCTTATATTTTAGCTTTCATTGTTGTTATTCTCACAGTGTTTCTTGGAATAATAATGAAACTGAATTAAGTTATTTTTAATGTGGGAGTCAGAGAATTTGGGTAAATAATGGAGTAAAAGATGGCAATGCACAATGAATTTGTTACCCCTGACTGATGTGTTTTGAAATTTTTAGGATTTTTTTTCTCTTTGAAATAAAATGGATTTGAAAAACAGGGAGTAAAGAAACTAAAATCTACAATGGACCCACTGCAGTTAAGCATTTATATATAGCAATTGCAAGGTTACAGGGTTCATATTTTCATTGTGTATTCAGCTCTTGGAAGGTAACAATACAGTAAAAATTTTAAAAGACTAGTAAATACAATGTGACTTTCTAGTTCATCTGTTTTTATATTTTCTATTGTCTTAGGGAGAAAGAGAGGTAGAAACAGACTTTTGTCAAGTGGGAGTAATGGATCCCTAAGGAAAAGAGGTTGGTCAAAAGGTAAAAAAAAATAATATATATCTTTGATAAACATCTTAATTTATATGCTTTATTTTAGCTGTTAATAACAACCATTGAATAACACATGAGATTTAGTGAATTTCCAAAATATGTCAGGGAAAAAACATAAATAACACAACAATGGCACTAACTTAGCGATGGAAGTATGACCCGACCCTGAGGCCAGGATCCTATACCACTGCCTCTGCTCAACTGATAACTTTTAACTCTGGACTGGCTGGGGTGAAGAGCAGGGCACAACCTAACCATAACTCAACCCTCCTTTTGCCCACTACTCTGTGGTTATTATTGAACATAAGTCTAGACCAGAGGTCAGCAAATTGTGGCCCAGTGAATAGCCTACCTTTCAACTGTTTGTGAATAAAGCTTTATTGGAACACCTATCGTCTATGGATGTTTTTAAGGTAGAATTGAAAAGCTGAGGAATCACCACAGAGGCATATGCTACTCAAAATATTGAATATTTACTTCAATATTTACTATCTGGCCATTTTCAAAAAAAAAATCCTGGCTTATGGGCATTTGAATATTTTAAAAATATTAGATGGGCTCTTAACAAGTTACTTTCAAATAGTGTGTTCTTAAGCACCACTATGTGCAATGCACTGTTATACACAAGAAATATTAATGTTATTTTTCTATGTTTTTCAGGGATAAAAATAGTCACCAGTAAACTTTTGAGAAGAGTCAGAAAAAGAGGTAAAAAGAAAGGATGAATAAACTTTTAAATTAAATATCTGAATTCCTACCCCCAGGTTCTGAGCAATGTCAGTTTTCTCTACTGGTTTATGGAAATCAGTAGCAAATATTAGGCTCTTCACAGACATTGATCAGTTTTGATGGGACAGACTGGCGGTATCTCCCATTCCACTGACCAGTCAGTCTGGGAGAGACCCCAGGCCACCTGGTCTGCATCCACCCACCATTCAGATAGTTAGCAGACCCTTATCCTGCCCATGTAGAAAGTCACAGACTGCATAGAAATGAACCCTTGGCAGCAATATAAGACCTATGTTCTGATGCTTACAATTCCTTTCACTGTTAACTTAGGCTGGGATTTGCCTTTTTTGACAACACTTTCCTCAACTGTAAAGATAGAGGAGAGGGTGGTGAGTGAATTACATAAAGTGTCTTGGTAGGGCCACCCAAGCCCTGGTGGTCTGTGTATATCTGAACCAACTTTTGCAAGACTGGAAGGCCCACTATCCTCACCCGAGAGAGAACCCCAGCCTGTTTGTCGGCCCCCTCACCTTGGCTGGAAGGGCAGGAGCAGCTGCGGCTGCTGTAGAAGGTTTTAAGACCTTCAGAACTAGGGGCTGGGGATTTAGCTAAGCGGCATAAGCGCCTGCCTTGTAAGCAGATGTCTTGAGTTCGATCCCCGGTACCGATAAAAAAGAAAAAGACAAAAAAATAAAATAAAAGACCTTCAGAACGGCTTCAAATCCCCAGGGCCCCTCATGTGGTGAGCAGGGCTCCCCAAGAAATTTGCAGTCTCTGCTGGAGCCACTGCCCTGAGCTACCAAGAGAGCTCAGGTGGAGAAGAGGCAAAGCAGAGCAGAGGCCAGTGCCCAATGAGGTGTCCACTGCCATCCCACTCTGCTTCCCGAGCTGATGCCTCAAATGTGGAGACTTGACTAAAATTCAAAAAGAATTTTCTCCATCTACCTAATTTTGAAGTCATAATATGACCAGAACTGTCCCTTCAAAATATCAGGAGAAAGTCACTGTGTGGTAGAAAGTTGAGCCAGCAAGCTTGGGGCTCAGATTCGGCCCACAAGGCTTCCTGCGGGAGGTGAGGCATGGGGTGGAGGATGGTATTCTTTCTTGGTATCTAATCTGCCACTGAAAAAAGACCTTGAAATGTAACTAACGGGAAAATTCAATGCATTCTAAAGTTATAAAAGAGGGATCTCAAGTTATATAGGGGAGATGTTGGGTTGTTTTAGAGGAAGATGGATTGAAAAAAAGAACCTCAAAAAAACTTCCTTGCAGGTCCTAGAATTCCTAAAGAATTAAATGCAAATTTTTACACCCCTGAACTTCCTGTGACCTGCGGTGATGCTAAGGCAACCCTGATGAGGGAAGTGTTTAAGCAAGGTGAGTGTTGTGGTCCCCAGTGCTCTTCCGCGGTGAAGTACTCTTGTGACTAGAGCACACCTGAGGCAGTAGACAGCTCTGAGGCTTGGTAACTGACAGGGAGGACTCAGAATATGCTCACACACCGCCAGGCTTTATTAAAGTGAAGGAATGTGAAGCAAAGTCAGCAAAGGGAAGGAAAGGAGAGGAACCCAAGAGCGGTCACATGGGAGTCACACAGAGTGCAACCACACGTGACGCACGTGTGAAGTGTCTTCTGCCAGGGAAGCTGGGCTGAGCACGGGAGCTCAGGGTTTGGTCAAAGGTTAGTCTCTTAGGCACCTCTGCCTGGCACACACCGGAACCCCGGAATCTCAGTGGGGAGCAGGGCTTCTGCAGAAACCGCGTTGCTGGTACAGTGAGGCACTCCCATCGGTTTTGGGAACAGTAGAACTGCTCCCCACATCCATAGCCCCAAAAACTAACCAAGAGAAAACTTTGCACAAAAGTGCTTCTAAAGCTAGTCCCAGCCTGCCATGTTAACTCTTTTCTACACAGCACACGAGATAAGCTGCAGTAATTATAACATTTTCAGTTTTAAATTCATAAAATGTTAGAAGAAGTCAAACCATGGCTTCCTATGAGCCAGGGTTCACCACAGGTAAAGGAAAGAGACTCAGTAAGAAGCCAAACCATGGCTTCCTGTGAACCAGTGGGTACACGGGCTGGGAGCCAGAAGAAGCAACTGGCCAATTCGGAGGACTCAGGGCAAGATGACAGCAACTGAGGCGAAGGAACAGCTTGATCTTTTTATTGTTTGATTGACTTTGCAGGCCTGGGGCTGGTGGTCTGGGCATCTATTTGGAGGATAGCAGTGAACAGTATGGCAACTGTGGGGGGATTTCCTTCTGTCTTGTTTTTGAAATCCAATGTTTTGTGCCATTTTACTCTTTTGTTTTATGCCTACATCTCATAACCTGAGCAACTATTCTGAAGATAACAATATGCAGTTTAACAGCCATTGTTAAATTCCTGTCATCTTGTTTTGAGAACCTATACAGCCATTGTTGGGTTTTTGTTGTTGTTATTTTGTTGTTCTGTTGCTGTTTTTTAGGTTTGTTTGCCTTTTGATTTTTCTTTTTTCTCTTTAAAATAAAATTTTAAGAAAATTCATAAAATGTTAGCCTTACAAACTAGGTCACCTTCACCCATGGAGAGGCCTACAAGATGCCTGTCTAGCACCCAGTACAAGAGCAAGCTCTTCACTACCTGAGCAGAACATGGACATGTCTGAAAATACTCAACTTCAAGCTTGACAGGCCTCTTCCCTATAACACCCATTTGGCCTTAAGCTAAAAGAAGAAACCAGATTTAGAATTAGAAAAGTGCAGCATTCAAGTTTCAGCTTTATCAACAATGTATCAGTCCATTTTTTTTTACTATAACAAAATACCAAAGGCAGGATACTCCAGAAAGAAAAGAGGTTTGTTTAACTCAGAGTTTTAGAGGCTGGATGCTGAGGATCCTCGAGTTTGGTTTTTGGTGAGATTCTAATGACAAATGGCAGCATGTGTAGAAGGAAAACATAACATCACAAGACAGGAAACCAAAGAATGATTGGGATCCTATGAGAACTACCTTAATCCTTTCCACAGATAGTGACCTAAAGGACTTAAAGACCTCCCAGGGTCTTAACGAACCACCAGGCATCACATCACCACATTGGGAACCAAGCCTTCAACCTACAATCCCTTAGGGGAGCAATACACTGGACATGTGTCCAAGCCATAGCAGACAGTGTCAGGGTTACCAGCAGCGAACCACTCAACCTCTTTGGCCCTGAACTTCCTTATTACAAAAGAATAATAAAACTTTCTCAGTATATCCTTATGGGAAAAAATAAAATAATACCCACAAAATATTTTGCGAATTATAATTGTTGTGGTACCAGTATTCATCTATCATGATTGATCCTCCCTCCCATGTTATAGTTGCATAGATACCAACAAGTCTAAATGTTTGCTCTATGACTCTACTGTCTATGTGTGATTAATTTTTCCTTCTAGTTAACACTTACATAATACCTGGCAACATCAAATTTTCATGAGCCCAAAACATGAGAAATAATTGATTGCCTTCAGCTGGAGAAATAATGTCATATCAGACAAGGTACATGTGGCAGTAATGACAGCTTTCACATGGCAACCAGGATTGACATGAGCCTAACAGAAGGAGGCTAAGGATGTCTGTCCTCATTTGCCTCTCTGCAACTTGTTCCCTCCTGGGGCACAGAGAAAAGAGGAGGAAGAATTCAGCTCACTATAAAGTCATCATTTTATCTCTTTTTAATGTAGTGAAATTCTTTTAAAAGGTAAGGTCAGTGGTAATTCCTCTTCCGATTGCATGAAGGTCAAGAAATATGCAAATAAGGTGGGGGATTCCCTTCTCTCCTTGCTTCTCAGACTGGGTGTGGATCCCTGGTGTCTGTGAGGAAGCAACCGCTCTCCTGAGATGGTTCTGAGCCCAGCCAGCCCTAGAACCAAGGCACAGGATGCCAAGAGTAGGTGGTCTCCTGGACGGGGCTCAGCTTGTCTTGGTCTTACAGGAGTCTGGAAGAAGAGCATCAGGAGCGAGGATGGGAAATGGTACACTCCTAAAGAGTTTGAAGTTGCAGGAGGCCGTGCATCTTCCAAGAACTGGAAAATCAGTGTGCGCTGCCATGGATGGACCCTCAGAGAACTGATGGAGGTACTGCAGGGACACGAGGCTTCAAGCAAGGACTGAACTGTCACAAGTCACCAGCATCAAGCTTTAAACGAGTGTCTGTGTCCAGAAAACTGTCCCTTTGCTCAGGTCACAATGCATATGTGATTGCTAGTGTCGCAAGGTGTTACCTTGGCTGGCTTGTTACAGCGCATCATCTTAAGTCAGTTATTTCATACTCTTTCGAAGGCAGGGCAGTAAATTATGGCTTGACTCTGCCACTAATTAACTGTCAAGTTTGGTGACATGGAAGTAACTTATATTGGAGAATATAAGAATATATAAGGAGTAACTCCTTATAAGGAATCCCCTAAATCTTGTGAGCCTTAAATTCCTTAAATCTTGTGAGCCAGTGTTAAAAGTAGCATTATTACCAGCCAGAGATTTAGCTCAGCAGCTCAAGTTCTTTCCTGGTAAGCACAAGGTCACAAGTTCAATCCCCAGTACCAAACAACTACAACAACAACTACAACAACAAAAGGAGCATTATACAAACATATATCAGAAAACAACACATCAACATAATAGTCCGAGTTGTAGACTATCTCAACAATTTTGTTAACCTATCTCAATTTCATTTTTTAACATTTTTTATTTTGTTATGGTACTAAGGATAGAACCCAGAGCCTCACATATGCTAGGCAAGTGCTCTACCACTCAGCTATATCTTCAGATCCCTCAAATTTTCTGCAGAAAAAGAATATTAATAGATTGCATTTTAAATTAACTCCTTTACTCCTCTTGTCAACTCTTGATATGGAAACATCGGGACAGGTCTCTGTGGCAAGTACAGTGCTCTTTCTGTCACTGTAACAATGCAGAAATATTTCCTGAGCCTGAGGCCGTGAGGAAGGAAACCCTGGGGTCCCCTGGCCCTGTACTGCAGTGCGTCACTTCTGCAACACGAGGTGCCAGCAGGAAGAAGTGCAGGAGCTTGAGGATGGGAAAGTCATTTCTGGTTTAGAAGGTGAGGACAGCCTGATAGAGCAGTTTACCTGAGCTGGGTCATACTGGAGAACATCTCCAATGAGACAGAATTTAGAACAGGACATTCTAGGTACAGAGAAGGGGTGGCATGAAAATCTCCTTGAGGTATCAAGCAGGTGGGATTGATAAGGCTCCTTGTACCTACTGAGCTGTTTGTGACAATCCCGAGGCCACAAGAGTGAGTCTAAATGCTTCCATGAGCCACTAGGAGACACAGGACATAACATTCCTGAAGACACTTGACTCTGAGCTCAGAGTGAGAGACTCAGATTGAAATACCTGGAAAGTGACCAGAAACGCCAGGCTCACAAAACAAAAACAAAGACCCATCAGATTGTAATGGAAAAAATTTTTAAAAATCAACAGCTAATGGTTTAATGAAGACATATGTTCCCCCAGCCTGCCAGATAGCCAACAGAAAGTTTCAGTCCGCCTTGATTGTCTCTGCCCAGGCACAAACTAGACATAGCTTGACCCAGATCATTCTAACCAGACCCGGATGCATAACTTGTGCTTATTTAGGCCACAAAACATCCTACTTGATACATACTTCAAGAACTTTCTTCCCAGCACCAAAGAGTAGCAAACTGTATGCAATAAGAACTCCCCATGCTTTCAAGCCTCTGTACCCTCTATAAATCCTAGCTTAACTGCAGGCCAGGCTGGTTTCCACCGGACCACTGGTGTAATAAAGGAGTTGCTTGCTAACTCCTTGGTGTGGAGTATCTTGCTTGTGGTTCAGTGTCAGGCTCTGCAACAATATCACCAGTCCCTTTTCTCTTTCAGAAAGGAATCTTACCGGATCCACCAACTAAATGGAGAAAGGTAATTACCCCATGACCTTTTACCAATATCTCATCCATCACCTTGCTGACTTTCCACCTCTGTAGCCACATATATAGTGTTTCAATTGGCTACTCCTGATAGAATTTGATTTTATAATATGGTGCTATTATAGTTGCTGCTTTCAACATAACACAACATAAGAGGCCATAATTCTTCCTGCATTTAAACATGTGTGATAGACGTGAGAACAATCCTTAAAAATAGATCATAAGACAGAATTGGCCTTGCATACGTGTATTAGTAAAAGACCTGAATGTCATGCTCTTACAATTAATTATAAAAGGTGGGGCTGAAGTTGAAAAACAAGCACAATTTTGAAGTGCACAAAATGATACATTTAACAATGCCCATTTTTGCAATCTCAGCTTAACACCTTTTGTCTTTCCTCATTTTTTTTCTGGGTTCTATCTTTAATAAAATAATGGGGCACAGGTTTTCCTAGAAACATCCCATGGGCACTCCACATAATCTAATGTAAAATTTTCCTTGGAATATATATCACCCAGGGAAGCAAATAACAGATAAATAGAATCTTTTCTTTTACTTTCTTTCTTCCACTAAAACACACACACACACACACACACACACACACACACACACATACACACACACAGAGTTAATCAAGGAAAATTTATTTCTTGAGTCACACCTAAGAATATAGTGATTCCATGTGTCACCTTGTGACTCTGCAAGTGAAAAGGTCAGCATCAGAAAAGCTCCTCCAGCCTCCAGAGCTGTCAGTTAGATGAACCTCTTTTCTATACTCACCTGTCCTCTGTTATTTTGTTATAGTAACACAAAACTGACAAATGAAATCGCTGTCATGGAAAATCTTTCCTTCATGGAGGATTTGGCCCCACCAGAGTGGCTGTGAAGGCTTCACTTTACCCCTAATGCTTATTTCTCCCTATGTGGAAGTAATGTAGAGGTCATGGACCAGTGATGCCCATGATATGGACACACAAGAAGGTAGTGAGACTTCTGGTGTTTTCACATGGCCTCTCTAACGCTAAATATAAGACAGAACCTGGTAATGGAGGTTTAATAATAGAAGAGCTCCCATTTCCCAGATATTTTTCAGAGGTGATCTTTGGTATCTTTATCACATCACTTTGGTCTTGACAAAGTTAGATCCCAGAGCCCCCTGCTCCACTAACTTCATGACTAGAGATTTAGGGACTGAGTTTCATATCCTCTGGGTTTTCTGTAGAGACACTGATGCATTCATTAAGACCAAACATGTCCAGCCAGCTCCAGAGAGGCATGGTAGTTCAGGCTGGGCTAGTCAACAGAATCAGCCATCTCTCATCCCTTCATCCTTCCCTCTGTCCTCTATGGGATCACAGCTCTAGAGGTGGAACTACCATGTTCTCAGGTGTCTCTACAAAGGGCCTTCCTTCTCTAGCACTTTGGTCTCTGGTGGTTGGGTCACTCTGTACCATGAAATAGGTGCTGCTGATGGCAGATTCCCTGCTCATAGGTTACTATTGAACCTGCTGGTGGTAGCTAAGGCTGGTCTAGATAAATAGTAAGATATGAAAGTCCATGGTTACTTATTGGGTGCTAAGAAATCTCTTTTCCTGAGTGACCACAGTGCTCATTTGTCATGCACTTGTGTATGCATCCAACAAACAACTGCAAAGCAACTACTAAGCCTCTGGCAATGGGCTTCATAGTGCTGTGCAAAGGAGGCCAAGGTGACAGACCCCAGGATGACATCCTCCTTGTCCTACTTTGGAAGGTAAATAATAGAGTGGGTAGGGCAGGCTCCAGAATTCAGGATGAAATGGGAAGGTGCTGACCTTCAGGAGGTGACCTGGGACCTTGTTATCTTCAGGACTGTCTTCCTAGGCAGTGAGATCTTCTTCCCTTGCAAGGCCTCCAAGATTCTGGACCTTGTGGTCACTGGGGACCTCAGAGGATGAGTCCCCAGCCTGATTCCCACTGATGCTCCTCCCAGTAGATGACACTTCCTAATTTAAAGAAAACTCCCTGGGGATCCTCCAATCAGGAGAACCAGTGGGGTTTCTCCAGTCAGCCTGGAAAAGAGGACCAGATATATTATTTAATAGTTTTTATTCTCTAAGCATAAGGGCTCATAAAAGCAGATATAAAACAAAACAAAGGGAAGGCAATGGCATAAATCCCTTTAAAAAGTGATTAAATGTGTGATTGATGAAACATCACCTTCCATATTATCACTCGACCTTTGTCTCTTTCAGAAAAGAACACTAGACTCTGACATCCATACCTTCGTGGACCCTTATGTAAGTACCGACTCCCAGCTAAGGCCATCACAGCAGCCCAGGCCTTTTCCCGAGCACATCACCTGTGTTCCCACTGCTTTTCCCTGGAGCAGCCTCACTCTCAGGAGGAGCACAGTGCTGTGTGTGATGAGCAGGGAATACCAGCTGTGCCCCAAGCCGGGTGCATGGGTCCAGGGCTGGGCATCTCCACTGCAAACACCCTTCCTGTCTGCCTCAGTGGAAACAGTGCATGTTCTCGTTTCCTCTCAAAAGTGAGTGTGGGAGGCTGAGCTCTATACCACTGGGGTCTCTAGAAACAGCTCGAAGCAGACAGAGGTAGAGCTGGCCTGCAGATGACGGGTAAGCAGCTAATTTGAGAGGAAAACAGCACTTTCAAGAAAGTAGTGAGAGATAGAAGAGAAAAGGCCCCGTCTGCTCCCTGGAAGTGGTGGCAGAGTTCAAGGTGGCCTTCAGCATCAGCCAGAAAGAACACGCCATACCCTGCTGGCAAGTTCAAGGTGGGACCTGTCCTTAGGCCTGCAGAGAAATGCTCATGATGCCCCTGTGCCTGGAATGAATGGAGCCAAGCCATCACCACTTAGCGAGCCACAGGGCACTTTTCCTCGAACTGCTTGGCTGGGGCTGGATCACACGTCTCCTGTTCTGATCCCACAGGCCCTGTGCCATCTCTGCTTGCAGTACAGCTGCCCACTTGGGGTCTGCCAAAGTCATGAGGACCCCACAGGTCAGCAGCTAGATCATACCTTGATTCCTCTTATGGCGATTGGATGTATATTTTTATGGGGGTTCACCTTTTGCACAACTGTAGGAGGCATCTCTCAGCATAGATCATGTGCAATCAGACACAGGACACAGCACAGATCGGGGAAAAAGGGGTCACCATGCCCCCTGGCTTCCTAGCAAATGCACTGCCTTTGCGAGATCTAAAGAGCTCCATACTGATTTCATTCCTCTGCTGGAACATACACCTTCAGTTGTGGAACAGCGTTCATCTCTGGGTCTGTGTAACTTGCTTAATGACAGGCAGATGTTGAAGGTTTTTCTCAAAGCTCACAACCAAGTCCTGTATGAGGACAAAACACACACACACACACACACACAACTGGATGTCCACTCTCCTTTCCATGACCTCACTGCTGACATCGTGGGCTGATGATGACTATCTTAGGACTCCCCTGCCCTTACTCAGGAGAATATGGGCTCTCTACCTGGCAGCCCCGCCGTCCTTGGGTAAGACCAACTTACCGGTCTCATTGCCACCTGAGGAGCACGATTCTCCCAGCCTCCCTCAGCGGCTTTTCAATGCACCTGCAGCTGTGAGTGGCTGAGAACTGACACTGTTCTTTCCAGCGTCCATCCAATTCATGCGGTCAAACCCCACCTGGTGCCCTGGACTCATCCTCTGAGGGATGGAGCCCAAAATGTGCATTTCTAGTAAAGCCAGGAGCTGCTGCTGGTCCAGAGACCACTGCATGACTGTACACTGGCACAATCTGGGCTCATGCGAAACACTCGAGTGTCTCAGGCCAAACCCAGACTGAACTGAAATACTGGTGATAGGACTTGGGTTTGGGTTTCATTTGTTTTTGGTTTTGTTTTTTTGCAGTGTTGAGGATTGGATCCAGAGCCTAGGCATGCTAGATATGTCCTCTAGCACTGAGTTATACCCCCAGGTTTTTTTTTTAAAAAAAAGCTCTTTGGTTAATTCTGAAAGTCTGTATAACATATTGAGAATCACTGCTAACCAAAAGAACAAATTTCTTGCTAAAAGGATGGGAGAGGAGGCTTGCAGAAATAGCTGGGCAGTAGAGCACTTGCCTGGCATGTGTTAGGCGCTGGCATCAATTCCCAGCACTACAAGTTAAATAATAATGATAACAGTAATAATAGTGATAATGATAATGAAAAGACAGACCTCAGGTTTGCAGTCTTAGATGATGGGACTCCAAATACAGGACTTGTTACATCTTTCATTCTTTCTCGGAGCCCACTTGCAGTGTATCTAATAGGATGATGATCCAGAAACTGTGACTCAGCTTACCAGTACTTTTCCACATCCTTCTGTCTCCCTGTGGTGACCAAAAGGAAAGATAGTTGTAAGACCCCGTGCTCGGGCAGCCTGAGGAGGCCTGAGAGGATGAGACAAGGACGACCCCAACAGGCCACTCAAGTTTCCTACTGAAAGAGAGCCTCTGGGCCCATTCATCTGGCAGCCTAGAGTTTGTTCATATGTATGACTTTTATGCCTTTTTTTGTATAGAATTTATAAATGAAGAGAAAAATTTCTAATTATAATTGAATTTACTGCAGGTCACTGGGTCAAGGAATGAGGTTCCTAACTGTTGTGATTTTTAACCTAAACAGCAGGACATTTTGCTTTGGTTGATAATGTCATAAATGGGGTTGCTACCTGGTCACAGGCAGCTGTGCACAGAAGCTCTGAGAGAGGTGAGGTATTTAAATTAGGACCAGCAGGAGAGGGGTAGGGTGGGATATCTAAGAGGGGGCTGGGGAGCAACTGGGGTTCACGTGCAGGCCTGTGGATGGATAGTAGGTGGCTGTGGAGATGAGGTACACTAAAAGAGATTCCAGATAAGGGGACACAGAATGGAAATCGTGCCAACAGTGGGACCATTCCCATGAGACAGAAGGAGAAGCGGGTTTTGCATATTTGTGGGCTCAGGACGGGGCCAGGAAATGGATCCAAAGGTTACAGAATGTGTGTTCACTGAATGTGTTTGTGGGGAAAGCTGTTCACTGAGAAAAAGGAAATGAGCAGAGGATGTAGAAGCAAGCCCTGAGGAAGCCCCACACTCTGACTGCAAAACCTGCAAAGAAAGAGAGCAGTAAGGAGAAAAATCCAAGAGAGCGTGGAAGGAAGCAGCTAGAGAGGGGTGGGACAGCGCTCCCTGCGTCCTCCCCACCCACCAGAGCCCCCACCCCAGCACCAGCTGAGCCTGCCCATGGTACTTAGATTGTCACCCAAGGATGCGAGAGTCTTCTCGCAGGCCACAGTGCGTGTGTGTGGTGTGTGTGTGTGTGTGTGTGTGTGTGTGTGTGTGTGTGTGTGTTCAGTGGGGCGGAGCCCTGCCGGTGAGGAGATGTCTCCCCGCCATGGGGCGCCCTCAAGCCTCTCTCCTGCTCCTTCCTCCAGCACACACCCCTCACACGCAGACACTGCAGTGCGGGGGGGCACATCGAAAAGGGAGAGTGTGACTCCCTTTGCCCACCTGTGGGCTTCTTCCTTAACTTCTCATTCTTGTCTACAAACTTCTAGTCTGCGTAACATATGTGAATCACTCTGTGATTGCCACACGCAAATATGGTCACACTTTTCGCTTCACTAAGTATAGTTAGATCTGGCTAACGGTCATATTTATGTTGAAATCAGTTAGTATTGGTCAGTTTTCTGGGGCCTTCCATTTTCCTTTTATAGAACAAAGCTCCAGCCCTTTCATGGGCTCAGAAAGTGAAGACAGAGGCTCAGTCTTTAACTGGCAATGGCCATAACGACAATCCTTCCGTTAGAGATGGCACCTCTGTACTTCATGTGCCAGGTTGGATGAGGCATGGGAGACCCAAAGAGCTGTGTCCTCCCTGACACTCACCTGGCTACACTGCCTACACTGGTCCTTCCACCCCAGAGGCGCCGTCACAGGAACAGAAGCCTAAGAACCACTCCTCAGGCCTGTTCTTTAACTCACAGGGAACATGTGGCCAGGCTGTAGGGTACAGTGATATCGCAACTGGTTGTATCATCTTAAAATCTCAGTGGATCACCCTTTGAGGAATAAATTTAAATATGAACAACCAGGAAAGACACAGAATTCACAGTCTAGTTTTCCCAAGCCAAAAAAATCGGTTAATCTTTCACTCATCCTTTTGTTTGTGGCTGCTGTTGACAATTTTGTATCAGAATCATTGTTTTCTTTCTTTTCTTTTCTTTTCTTTTTTTTTTGGTACTGGGGATCACAATCATTGTTTTCAAAAACCAATTTTTTTCCTCTCCAGGAGACACATAACAACTGTCTCCTGAACTTTGTTATGCTCCAAAATGCCTCTTTCTAAACTAAATCTCCAATCACACTGCTCCTTAATATTTTGAGGACAGAGATTCTGGAATTCCAACACGGCAACTTCCTAAATTCTCAGTGATCCAAACCATATCTACATCACTTTTCCCTTCCAGCCACAAAACTCAAATGAATGTGAAGTGTGTCACCAAGGGGGAAAGCTGTACTGCTGTGACACTTGTTCAAAATCCTTTCATGAGAACTGTCACATCCCGCCTGTGGAAATCGAGAGGTTAGTAAGACCCTGTCCTCCCCACTTCCCCGCTTCCTTCTTCCTCCTGCCATCCACACACATCCCCAAGAGTTTCCAACTCTAGTTGAGTCTTGGTGCAGAAAGCAGAACCCTTAGCATCAGGATCCAACAGTATCTTCCAGAGCGATCTGATGGTACTGATAGCAGCCGGTTAATGGAAAGCAGATTCTCCAAGCAGCTCTCAGGTGTAATAGTAAGCAGTGTCATCCTTTCTCCCCTTCTTAGTTCCCAAATCTGCTTACTCTAATGTCCAGCACTGGTGGCTGAGTTTGGAATATACCATCCGCTGTGAGAACATTGCAGTATTGGTGAAGCTGGCATTAATAGACCTTTCAGGGGTCCATTCCATTGTCTGTCAAATCAGTTGACTCTGGGTGACAGGGTACATAAGACCACTAAATTCTATGAGTGAGACGCTTCTGATACATTTTGGGGGGCTTTGGACAGAGGTGATGGGGCATGTTGGATCAAAGATCAGAGTGGTGTTGCAGACAGAATCACCGTGGTCTGGAGAATGACCTACAAGGAATGTGTCCTCTGAAGACTGAGCATTGCCCTTCCAATAATGGGAAGAGTCCAACATGATCCACCTGGTCCTGGGGCTCTAGCTGACAGGAGCAATGTAAATCTCTGTTTTTGATCAGTTGGGAAATCTGCTGAGGAAAAGAAAAGATCACCTCTGGTTTCAGCCTCATGTGTCACTCCCATCTCTCTATGATGGGTACTTTGCAGTGGACCCTTGAGCAAGTCCTGGGTGGCCAAAGAGAGGCGCACAAGGAAGGACAGCTCATCATGTTCCCCTGATGACTGAGAGTCTCCCAGCACAGAGAACCTAGGAAAGAAGGAGAATAAATCTTAAGCCAAGCAGGTAGATTTCCTTTCCAAGAAGTTTCTACAGCATAGGTGGTGGCTGCAGATCTGGCAGTGGCAGAGGCTGTCTACAGCTCATATTCCATGCCTATTCAGCAAAGTTGACAGACAGGGGTTGGCTTCCTGATTTTACCTTGGATCCTGATTCCTATGGCTCCAACACTCCCATTCTTCAGGTACTAAGTCCCAGGACTTGACTGGGGCCAATGCAGCTCATGCTCAAGCTCAAGAGTGAGTCAGATGAGACCCCAGGTTTTGAAGGCAATCAGAGTCCATCCACTGCTGGGACATCTCCCTCAGCAGATAGTCACCCCATCACCACTATGATGGAAGGGAAAGTCTCTGTCTGGTGAGCCCAAATGGAGTTTCAGTGCAGAGGCCTCCGAGAGACAAATTGGAGACAAGATGGTAACCATGTCATTCTTGAGCTGAGGGCCCTAGCAGCGATAGGAATGTGGCTGGTTCTCAGGCCCTGCCCTTGCTCACCATATGCCTGACCTCTCAGAGACCCCTGGAGTTGTATCTTCTGCAAGACAAAGGCTATTCGGAAAAGGTGTCGAGAAAGCCCGAAGTGTCATCAGGAATCTGAGGTTCTGATGAAGAGGATGGACAATGAGGAAAAGTTGGTGAGTGGATGAGACCCTGAAGCTGCCTCTTACTGTTCACCAGCAGGAGCACAGTCTTGCAGAGCTAGGGGAATGATGCCCAAAGATAAACTGCTTTCTCCTGCTATGCTTCCATTACATGACTTAGCACCAAAATCCACATTCTAGACTTTCCAATCTGGAAAACTCGAACTCTCAAAGAGTCCACAGTTCCAGGAGTCACATGTTCTGTCTGAACTTGGCACTGACTTTTTTCCTCTAAGCTGCTTTGCACTTAAAACCGCCTCATCCTTTTGCAGAAATGTGAGCTGCTCCTCTTGAAGGTCTGCTGCTCTGTAGAAAGAAACCCTTTCACAACACAGTGTCATGTAAGTAACAGCGAAGAAGCTAGAGACTTGTATTTGTCAGACTTGATCTGAACCCCAGGGATGCAAATTCCCCTTACCTTTGCCTCGGTGGTGACTGTCTTTGTTCCAGCCACTGTAACAAATTACTGTAGACTATCTGCATACACCAGAAATGTATTTCTCACAGATATGGAGACTGAAAGTTCAAAGTCAGGGTGGTAGCATGCAGGGATTTTGATGAAGACCTTCTTCTGGTACAGACTGGCTGCCTCCTCTGTTTCTACTTGGAGGAGGGGACAGGGAGGGAGGGGACAGAGAGACAGAGAAAAAAAGACACAAAGAGAGATATCATCAGAGTCTCAATAAGGGTGCTAATCCCACTCAGGAGGGGTCCACCTCTGTGACCTAATGACTTCCCAGAAGTCCACCTCCTAACACTATCACCTTGGGGTGGAGACGTCAGCATCTGAGTTGGAAGGAGTGGACATACAAGATTCAGCCCTTAACAGTGGGAGTTTGGGCAAGGCAGACTGGGGAACATGCCAACAGCCCCACTTCGCTGTGCTCCCCAACAGATGCAAGAGACAGCTGGAGACCAACAGAAGTGCTTGCATTTAGATGAAATCAAGACCGAGCTGAATGAGAAGAAGTACGTCTTAGTAAAGGAGTTTGTGCAGGACATTCGGTGCATGTTTCAGAGCTACAAAGCACTTGTAAGTGATTTTCCCTACTTCCCCCTTTCTTTTGGTCACTGTACCTTGCACCTTCTTCCACCAAGAAAAGTTTCAGGCTGGGAATTTAGCTCAGTGGCATAAGTGCCTGCCTGGCAAGCGTGAGGTTGTGAGTTCGATTCCCGGTACCAAAAAAGAAAAGAAAAGTTTCAGTTGCCATCATCCTGTTGGTAACCCTGGATGAGTAAAATTTCACAGAAGCATTTTAAAAGTACTGTGGTGCATGCTGGGTATCGTGGGGAAGGTGTGCTTAAGGTCTCTGGTTTTACTCACTTCTGACGTGGATTGTCACTCATGGAAAGCAGTCCACTGACAGTCAGCTCACTGCTGCTGGACGTGGAGGTGCATTTTAAAGGGAACTAGTCTTTCTCTTGTCTAAGAGAAGATACCAACATCCTCAAATTCCAAAACCTTAGCTTTTTCTATGTGCTAATTTCCTACTGATCTATCAAAAACATACCAAGTCTTCTCAAAGGGTGAATCTATGCCATCCCATGATTGCAAATCAGCTATGCCATGTTTAAAAAATCAAATAAAGAGAACTTTTTAAAAATTAAGTTGGTATCTTTCTGATCAGGAATTAGGCTGTAACATGCAGGTTGAACACCCCTAATCTGAAATTTGAAAACATGAAATACTTCAAAATTTGAAACTTTCTGAAGCCCGATAGGATGACAAGTGCAGAAATTATTGATTATATTGTATAAAATTGCCTGCAGGCTATCTGCATAAGGTTTATGTGAAACATAACAACATATGTGTGTTTAGGCTTGGGTCTCGTGCCCAAGACAATCTCATTATGCATATGCAAATATTCCAAAATCTAAAAAATTCTGAAATTCAAAACACTTCTAATGCCAACTATTTGGGTATAGGATATTCACCTGTAGTACAATTTTAGCTTCTCTGTCTTCTGGCTAAAGAGAAATGAACTATCATGGAACATAAACTCCTCTGAACTGGACTGACCCTTTGATAGTCTAGGCTTATTGAGTAATGGCTGTTATTATTTTTGCCTTTGCAATTGCCTTTTCAGGACGAAAATTACGTTACTGTGGCACGTAACCTAGAAGCTAAATTTGAGAAGAATTTCAAAAACATTTTTGGCATCCAGGAAAGAACTCCAAACAATTATCTGTCTCCCGGCCTGGGACCCTTCAGCCACTAACTGTGATATTCTGATGATCCCACCCACAGCCCTGCCTCGTCCTGGCCAGACAAAATCATATTACATTTCTTTTTCAAGTGTTTTTGTGGCTCTTCCCGTTGATTTTTTTAAAAATAAAAATTCTCATATAAATCAAATTCTCATATTAATTAAGATTGAAAGTTGCAACTGAAACTATGAAGTGTTTTCATAAAGGACCATATTGTATGTTCTGTCACTGATTCAAATCCTGTATTTTAGGCAAGATAGCTTTTGTTTTGTTTGTTTGCTGGCTTGCTTGTTGGTACCAGGAATCAACTTATAACCATACACTTATCAGGCAGGCACTTATGCCACTGAGCCATATCCCCCACCCTAGGCAAGACAGCTAAGACAGTTATACAGCTGGTTTCTCTTAGTTCATTAAAAACAAAGGTTTGTACTAATATTATTTGAACAAGATACAATGCCTATATCTTGTACGCTAAACAATTCCTACGAGGACAACAATACCCCATGTACTAATTATTAGAACTCTCCTACTAACCTGTTCTGAAACCCTGTTGTATTGTTATTTTTTTTCTCTTTAAAATTTAAAAAAAAATCCTGTATTAGGTTCTTCAGGAATGTTTTCTCTTCCCCTACACGGGGCTTTCTTTCTTTCATTTTTTTTCTCACCTGCAAGCATTTTAACATTTTGGTGTCATTGTGAAAGTCATCTGCACAGTGCAGTCTTGTCCTGCAGTGAGAGACGCCTCATTCTATCGAATGGCAGCTTTTTGTTACAGATATAGGCAATAGCCTATTATAAAAACCAAAGAAGGAAGGAAAAAAGCAAAAACATACACACATGCACAAGACAGTTGGGATAGTCATACTACTCATTTTCTTGGTTCACTGCAAAGAAAGGTTTGTGCTAATATTGCCTGGACAATTAAATACCTATATCTTGTACTCTGAGTAACTACTTTAAAGATAACAATATGCAGTATATTAACCATTGTTACTCTCCTGTTATCTTGTTTCAAAATTTTGTTGTAGCTTTTGCTTTCTTTTTATCCTCTTTTTTTAAAAAATTTTATTTAAATAAAGATTAAACAAAACAGAAAATGGATAGAAATAATACACACGTTCAGAGAAAAAATAAACAGTAAGAAATCACTAGTTGATGTTTACATACTGTCCTTTTACAAATAGTTGTTCAACAAACAAAAGTGGAACATATAAAGTGGGATTGCAAACAGTGAGATTGCAAACAACTCTCTTCAACTATCCAACAAAAACTTAGTAATATGGTTGTCAATCCTATACACTTAAACATACACGCAGTTATCCATATCTTCATTTATTTTGAAATTAAACAAACTAAAGCAGGCTAAAGTCATTCTGAACAAAGAATAGTACTATTGCTGGATTTCACATCATGACACTCTGGGATCAGCACTTTGTACTGTAGTGTCTTTTTTTTTTAATTTAAAGAAAGACTTAAAAAGCAGCAAATGGGTAGAAATAATACATACTTTCAAAGAAAAAATAAACAGTAAGAAATCATGTTAATGATTACAGATTGTCCTCTTACAAATAGTTATTCAAGATACTAAAGTGGAGCTTATAAAGTGGGAATTCAAATAGTGAGACTGCAACCAGATCTGTTCAACTATCCAACAAAAACTTAGAAATATGGTTATCAATCCTATACATTTAAACATACATGCAGTTATCTATATCTTCAATTATGTTGAAATTGAACAAACCCAAGCAGGCTAATATCACTCTGAACAAAGAATTACACTATTGCTGGGTTTCACAGTATGACACTCCAGGTTCAGCACTGGGTACTTTAGTGTCTCTTTTTCTTCAAAGTATCTGTTCATTTCATCATGTGTCATATGATCAGTTCTCATAAACTGTTTATAGATTCTACACATGCATGAGTCAACATGTATTTCTATCCTTTCTATACTAGAGGGAGAAACAAAACAAAACATATTCCTATAAACACATGAAACGAAAAAGACATATAAGACTGTTGTACAAGGGGTTCTACCAGAGTTCTTGTGTTGGCACTTGTTATCTTCAATAGAATTGGCTATATCATCAGACATAGTATAATTGAATACATCAGTACATAACAGTATTAATAAAAGCACAACTTTGTATATAGTATAAAACTTCGAAAATAGGCAGTAATCATACCAGAATGTTTATCAGTGAATCTTGTCATCTTCAGTGTAGTTGTCTAAACTCTCAAACTTGATACTATCAACCATATTAGTTTTGAATAAAATCTGTCAATACCAAACAGCAATCAAATAAACCAGATTTAACTAAGATCAGTCATGATAAAACAGTATAAGTCATACAGGGCTCCAGATTAAGATAATAGGAAATTAAAGATGACTACTGTGCTATCTCCTGATGTTTTTGGGATAGCTGTCTGTGCCCGCAAATCTAATGCAAGTAGACAAAGTGGGACAGAATAAAATCTATCTAAGCAGAGTGGTGTGAGTAATGTGGGTTTTAAATCCTGATACACTATTGACAATATCGTCTGCCATCTTTTGTAAGACTCTCCCTCCCCTTTCACTTCCCCAGGGTACACTGTGCATTTTTGGGTCTCACCAAGACCCTTGGTTTTAAATTGGGGGAAGAGCAACCTGCTATTTACCTAAGTGATTCTGAACCTTCTCTCTCCTAGACTTGATCTCTAATAGTATTCCTTTACCTATTAAAACCTGTCTTTTCAACCTATCCACAAACACTGGTCTAGTTGCCCCTATTACTCTCTGGTTCCTTGTCACATAGAACATTGTTTTCTCATATTTGATTTTTAGTCCATGTTAATTATACTCCTATAAATAGCATCTTGGTGGACCCTACCTCCTGATCTACTCCACGTGTGGTGCTTTTTTTTTAAATTTAGTGTCTCAAAGGCCATCTATATTAGAGATTATAACCAAACTTCTCTGCCTCATTTCTGTTATGCTCTTTTTTTGCCATCAGTTGTCTGCCTATTTTCTTCATTCTGTTTTCTGCTCCATTCATTGAGGCCTCTCTGCCACTGTTCCTGGAACCCTGGTACTTTTCTCTCTCTCTAGAATGCCCTGCAGTATTCTCTGTAGAGTTGGATTGGTGGTTGTGAATTTCCCAAGTTCCTCTTTGTCTTGGAAGCATCTTTTTTCTCCATTAATTTCTAGAGCAGTTTAGCAGGGTATATCAATCTGGGTTGGAGGTTATTTTCTTTCAGGACTTGGAATATTTTGCTCTAGGCTCTTCTTGACTTGATGGCTTGTGTTGAGAAATCTGCTGTTATTCTGATGGGCCTTCCTTTATAGGTTATCTGCTTCTTGTCTTTAATAGTTTTTAATATTCTGCTCTTACATTGAATTTCTGAGATCTTGATTACTATATCCCTGGGTGTAGCTCTGTTTTGGTTGTAGGTGCCTGGAGTTCTGTATGCCTCATACATCAGAATATCATTTCCTTTTCCTGTGTTTGGGAAGTTTTCCTTAATTATTTCTGTGAATAGCCTTTGTAGTTCCTTTGTTTGTACCCCTACTTCTTCATTCACGTCTTTATTCTCAAGTTATAGATCTTCTTGTTATCTTCTAGCCTTTGTATTATTACTGCTTGTTTCCTTGTTATTTTTAAAAGTTTTTTTCCTTCATAACCCCATATTGCAAAACTGTCCTCCAGTTTGCATAATCTATCCTTAGTTTTTTCAAGCATATTTGCTATCTTTCCATAGAGTTTTTAATTTCCTGGTAATCTCTCTGTATCTGCTTCATGTATTCTATATATTTTTATATTCTTCATCAAAGGGTTTCTCTCCTTTGTTTGAGCTCCTCTCTTCTTCCTACTGTGTCTGTTAAAGGGGTGCTTAGCATCTCTTTTATTAATCTTCTTATATCTTGCTTTACTTGGCTAAATATTTCCCTTTTGAACTTGTCTATGAGGTCCTGAAGATATCTCTTTATGTCCACTGATGCTGTGTCTGATATTGCATGCTTGCTGTTCTCATTCTCCTTTGTATTTACCTGTCCTGGGTCAATGTTCTCAGGGTTGGGACCTGGGGACTTTTTGTTATTGCTTCCTCTTCCTATCTTTTTTGTTTCTTCCAGGAGGCCCCAGTTTCTTTCTTTGTTGGTTACAATTCTTCTGAAGCATGCTGGCTAGGTGGTCCTTCCCACTGCAGTGTGCTAGTGAGTTGCAAACAGGCAGTGTATGTTGGCCCCTCCCCTCTGGATCAGTTAAGCTGCTGAGGTCTGTACTGTATTACTGTGCATCTGCCTCCCCTCTGGGTCATTCAAAATTCTGAGGCTTCACTGCGTTAGTATGCACCACTGCCATAGGTAATTGATTTCGGATAACCTATTGGGTCTTAGCCAGGTCGTGTGACCCAGGCCAAGCTCACTCCACCAGTCCCATTCAGGAAGGAACAACTGACTGAAGTCACTGCTGCCCCTTGTACTTGCCAGTCCTGCCTGATCCCAGGAGCCCCCCTTTCTGTGGAATGGCTCCACTCCTGTCACTCACCACAGGTTGATGCAGGCTCCCCGCCAGCTCAGCTCTCTGTTCAGCTGGCTCACCCCTGACCTCAGTGTGACTGAGCCTCCAGTGAGTTGAAATGGTGGGACCTCAGATGGTCAGCAAGTCGCCTGCTGCGGCAGGAGCACTGAACCTTTAGCTGTTCCAATAATAGCACCGGGACTGTATGTTTGATTGGTTCTTCTCACCTTAGTTTTTTCTTGGGATGAGAGAATTCATCTCCCTCTGTTCACAGCTCCCCATGCTGTATTATGTTGAATTGTAAGTTGACTATCTCAGGGAGCCTCTGTAGCTAGCTGTTATCTATCCGCCATCTTTGCTCCTTTCTTTCTATCCTTGAATAAACAGGTTTGAAAAGAAAATGAAAAATGAATAAATAAAATTTAAAGTATAAAAAATAAAACATTTTTAAAGTACTATAGAGAGTTATTCACATTCTTGATGTTGATAATCTTTGACCTACTACCTCTGTTCTCCTGCTTTTGCTGTGTAAGTAAAGTGCTGTCTGAGTCTTAAATGGCACCGTTTTTTCATTGTTTGTTCTTTGTTTTTTGTTTTTTTTTTAATCAGAGAAATCCGCCAGGTTTCCCAGATCTGATGTATTCAGGTTATGAGGACGTGTGTCATATGTTGGTAGCTGATTGAGAACACACAGGACAGCCTGAAGGGAGGTACCCTAACCTCAGAAATTAAGTCTCCAACACACTATGTCACCCCTCAAATAATGAAATTTCATCACCAGACAGCATTATTTTGAAGATTAAATGAGTTTATATGTGTAATAAAATCATTTTGGAAAACACATGAATGCATCATGGCTACACACAGCAGGGATTCTATACTAAAATGTCAGTCAGTGCAAGGGGGAGGTGGAACCCTCGCCCACCAAGATGGAAAGTTGTCTTCTGTTCCCCTGAAGGAAGAACATGAAATGGTGCAAAGGCCAATGTCAAATGATAACATTTTGCTTAAGTAATCTCTCTAATCATCTCATGGTGTGCTGTGCTGGTGATCTGGGGTAAGAAAAGAAGTTTATTGGCTCTGAAAGCTTTAGGTGCAAGAAGGGAAGGGTAATAAGTTATCAGTGCTAGAGCCTGGAAGACAGTTTGTAGCTTCAGCCTTTCAGAATCTTGAATTCTGCAATTAAGGAAAGTCATGTTCATCTCAGAAGCTCAGCAGTTTTCTAGCTGGGCACATGGACACACACCTATCTGCCCAGCACTAGAAAGGCTGAAGCTGGAGGATTGCTGTGAGTTTGAGGCTACAGAAGAAGTTCAAGGCCAGCCTGAACTACATAGCAACACCTTGCCTCAAAAACAAAAAAAAGCTCAACAATTGTTTTAATAACTCTGTTTTTAATCTGCAATGTTGAACTCCTATGGGAAAATGAAGCCATACCTTAACTCTAGATTTTCAAAACAAATTGTAGTGTATAAAATAATCACTTGCTTTTTCACTAAAATGTGTTGTATTAAACAATGAAGAAAAAGGTCTTTTAAAGAAAAACATAAATTGCATCTTCAAAAGGCAATAGGAGACAACCCTGTAAATCCTAAAACCCATTTTCTCCTTTTCTTTCTGAGCATATGACTATACCACACATCTAACAGACTAGCCCCACACTCCTTATTAGCTAGTGCCATGAGAATCCCAGCCGAAGGAATCGGTACAAAAGTGAGACAGGCTGTTTGGACACATCGTCTGTGATGTCTGCCATACTACTTACCTCATGGGCAGGATAAGTCCAGGCCCAGGCTGTTCATGGAAGTCATGAGCTGAAAACAACAGCACCTCCTTTCTTCCAACTTGACCCCCAAAGGTCAGCAAGATTTATCCCACCATCTTGAAACTTCGTTGGGTGCCAAAAACCAACTTCCGCCATACCTGAGTCATTGCACATTGCATATATATTTACTAGAGCAGATATACTACCCTACCAGTCATGGAAAATGTACAATATGAATTGCCTAGAGCCAAGTAGAAGTATTTTTAATTGCAAAACATACAAAAAGATGAATCAATCTCCTGTAGAAAAGCTATTCATTGTAACATAATTCTTCCTTGTGGTTATGTGTTTTCCCCGTGTATTTTCCTAAAGTAGGTTTGTTTCCTCCTCCATTACCTGCCTCATGGGATCTAAAAACAAAGAGAAAGGCTTAACAACAAGAATTTATAAATAAAAAGACTATGGAATCATGTGATAACTCACCTGGCAGAAGATTTGAAATCATGATACTTTGACAATAAATTCTGTCTCTGCTTTTCTTATTTTAAAAAAAAAGTCCAAACAACCATGAAATTGAATTCTGAGTGATCAAAGTATGAACCCTGAAGCTACTTTGAATTTTCTATGTTGATTTGCCAAGGATCCTTAAATACTCATGAGTGTTAGTTTTCACCTCTGAAACACTGATTCCTCTGGATTACATATGATATTATAACTTATCTCCCTGTATTTTAAAAATGAAAATATAGAAAGTAGAGTCCCCAGCTAAAATTAGTCTACTTGGAAGAAAGGTGCCTCTAAATACAAATGGGTAATCTACAGCCAATGGCTCTCAATTCTGACTCCCTAATTATTGACTCTGGGCATGAGACAGTCATCTTTCCTAATCACTGAAGAAGAGATGAAAACCCTTTTAATCTCAGGAGTAGTCTCAGTAGTGTGTGGTAATAGAGTAGCCCAGAAGGGAATCTCAGACAAAACTAAAAATACCTGGGAAACTCACAAAGTCACCTCTCTCTCTCTCTCTCTCTCTCTCTCTCTCTCTCTCTCTCTCTCTCTCTGTCTCTCTCTCTCTCTCTGGAAAGCCCTTTCCTAAGCCACTATATGCTTAACAACATTGAGAAAATACCAAAAATCTGCCATCATTAGTAAGACTGAGGGACAGATTCAGAGAAAGACAGCTGTAAAGTTAATAGGAAATATTTCTCCAAGAACTTGCTACTGCTATAAACTACAATGGGCTCTTCTTTGAATGAGTATTGTTAATGAATCACTGCAGAATCTTGTAAACATACACGCATATTTCTTCTGCTTCTACTTCTTGCAAATGGTGGGGAAAATTTTTGAAGGAGTATGTGGCCCTAAGCCCCCTCTCTCCTTGCCCCCAGCCCCATTTTGCCTCTCCTGCCAACCTGTTTGGGTGGTTTCCATGTGTAACCAATATATTTCTAGTGTTTAAGCCATTTTTAAAAACAGATGGTGTGAATTTCCTAAAAAACCCAGTTTTTTCCTTTTTAAAAAACTGTAGAAGTAATGATTTAATGACTACAGGCAAGACAAAGAAATTAGAACTGCACTTCTTTTTCAGACTGGTGAAATGAAACATTTAACTACAATTTCCCACACAAACATGAAACGATATTCATAGAGAATAAACATCCTCCAAAAAAACTGATGGGTGATGGACCCTCACCTAGTCCAACCAAAGTAAAACACAAGCTGGAAATTGTGATTATTCATATTTTAAAGTTAACACACTTGCACTGTTTAAAACTAAACTGCAGGAGCTCACGATATGTTTCTTCTATTTCCAGACATTACAGAGAAGCATACTCTACTACTAACTGTTAAAAAAAACTCTTAAATTTGAAATTATTATTTTACCATATATTAAAATAACTTCATAAATGCTTTCTTTAGCACTTAGTGCCTAGAAGTTAGTTTGCTTACTTAAAAATTTGTTTTAGAATTACAGCAATAAATAGGCATTTTAAAACACTCATTCCACCATAACCAATGAAAAATTAAGGTACACTCTCCCCTTGCCTTCAAGGTTTTCTTTATCCAACAATTAATTTTAAAAGCAAAGATGTGTTATTGGAGAAAAGTCAGTCTGATGATGGCTTGCCAGTTACTTCCAGTGCAACAGAATTTAGAATTCAATAGGTAAGTTATTATTTTATCATTAGTTATTACCGGGTTCTGTCCTAGATCCCCCATCTCCCAAACGAGTGTACAGTGGAAGTTAAATAAAAAGAGACAAATTGTATGATTTATAGGGCTCCAGGAGGGTCAAAACCCTTTAATTAAGCTCTAGGCTTTGAAGGTAAAGACAAAGGATTTTCTGGGTCAGTCCACTATATTGGGATCAAGGACAAAGGGCGGAGAAACTGAGGAAAGTGCAGGCAATGAGCAGGACCTTGGGAGTCACCTCGAGGACGTCTCCAAGTAATGAATCAAGTCAATTCAGTATCACTGTCTTATGAAGACATGGTAGAAGTGAGACTGTAGGAGTAATCTTTGCAGCTGCAGTCTCTACTTAGTTAATTGGGGTTGGAGCCATTTGTCTGCAGCTGTGGCCTTATCTTGCCCTTTGAGGCATCTCTGGCCTCACAGGCCACTACAGGCCTCAGCCAGGACCAGTTATTCATAGAGGTTCACTTACTATAGCTCCCATCACCAGGCAAGGGGCCTAGGCCTAGGACAGACTCACAGATAAACATAGAAAGCCAATTAGTAAAATTTAAATCCTGCTCAGAGCAGCTTCGTAGTGGTCTCTAACAAGTTCTCTTTTCTTCATCAGCAATTTCTCTATCTTCAATAAAGCCATTGGCAGCATCAGCTGAAGAACAAACTACATAAAAATCTCTTCTTCTCTTCATTTCATTTTTGAAAAGTCCTGGCACCAATTTGCATGCAATGACTTGAAGCATTTTATCCAACCTATTCAGTCACTGGCTTGTGGACATGGACGTACATCATAGATAGGGCAGTACTGGCCAGTCACCAGGTGACTCACAACGCACATCTCACAGAAGGAATGTAGGCATTCTGGTTGTGACATCAGGGGGAATCCTCCACAAACCACATGCATTAGCAAGAATTTAAATCAGGCATCTCGATCCTGGTTGTTGGGTCCTCCGTTCCTGCTGCCTCCCAGCCTGCCTCCTCTTCTTCCTCCTCTTCCTCCTCTTCCTCCTCTTCCTCCTCTTCCTCCTCTTCCTCCTCTTCCTCCTCTTCCTCCTCTTCCTCTTACATGGGCTCCACCTCTGACCTGGCCTCTCTTCTTGTAAAAATATAGCAAACAATTAAATTGAATCTTTTGTAGTAAAAAATGTACATTTTGACACTGAGTGCTCTTATTGATCTAATACACCTACTCTGAATTTCCAAATTAATTTTGTTCCTAAAATCCATGGACAAGAAATTTAAATAGTAATGTAGCATAATTGGTACCAAACTGAAAGGAAGGCTCTCCACACCAAGGAGCTGGAGGACCACTGTTTATTATGCCGGTGGGCTGATGGAAACCACTTTCAAATCACCAACCCTGAGTCAGTTTTGGGTTTAGCTTATATAAGGTTTGCAAGCAGGAAATATAGAAATTTAAAAGTAGGTTTTCATTAAGTTAGTCATTTCCATTTGCTGGGTGGAAGTCCTCAAAATATGTTAGAAAAACAATATAGTTTTAGGAGGGAAAGTACAAATAGTGTAGCTGGCCATGGTCATGGACATGGTCTGACCACATCTATGTAAAGCAACGGGGTGGGCCAGTCAAGGCTGACCAGGTTTAGCAGTCCAGCTACATGGTGGGCAGGATGAGTATATCTTGTTTCAATATGATATCAGGATGCTAGTTTTAAATTTTCAAAATTCCAGTCACAATAATCACTTAATATAACTCATAAATCCTGCAACAGCCATGTTTGCAGCCAAAACACTACAGTCATGTTTGCTTATTATTTTTCCTTCTAAAGAAAGAGATATCTGTTGAATTGAGATCCAGTCATCTAGGCTATCTTTTCTGTCCTTGTTACTTTATAAAAGATCTTTAAACATTAATGGGCTTGGGGCTGGGGATTTAGCTCGGCGGCATAAGCGCCTGCCTTGAAAGCAGGCAGTCGTGAGTTCGATCCCTGGTACCAGTAAAAACAAAAAAGCCAAAAAAAAAAAAAAAAAAAACCCATTAACACGCTTATGTTTCCTCATCTTTCAAACTAAGACAACAACAATTATCCTGCCTACTCCTTATGGATGTTGTAAAAATACAAAAAAAAAAAAAAGTTCTTGCAGTGGTAGAAATCAAACCCAGGCCTTGTGCATACTAGGCCAGTGCTCTTCCACTGAACCCGATGCTCACACCCTAAAAAACTATTTCTGAAAATATAAACCAGTGACATGTCAGACAGCACCTATGAAAAAGACTAGTTTTTAAGGTTTTTTCCAAGTTCCCAGTGACAATATTACATGGCCAATATTACAACAATATTACAAAGTCACCTAACTTTTTTGCTGTCTATGTGTGATTGAGGTGGAGCTCAATCACAAACTGAAGGCTTCGGTATGAAAAGTAAGATGCTATCTTTCTACAGTGCCATTTCCAGTATCATTCTAACATCAGTCGATTCTTCCATTTCCTGACACCAATAAGAGTATCCAACCATTCAACTCCATTCTGACATTAACTCCCCAGATTTCCCCACAAGTTCAGAACTCAGTCCCATAAGACTGCCTCACTTTGGATCCCAGCCACAAGTGGGTGAAACTCTTTATATGTCTTGATAACTGTTACTGTCCAAAAATCAGGTAGGGATGAAAAGACATGAGATGTTAAGGAGTCACTTCACTGAAATGTGAAAGTCATGACCTGATCCATCATTATCAGTGACAGCCCAGAGAGGCCAGTGGCTGGATGATAAGACTTCTCAGATTGTACAGATGCAATTGGTCATTCACATTTCTGTCTATAACTAGCAAATTTGGGGGTACCCAGGGCTCTCCCTTCCTCAGATTAAGAGACTGAAATAGCTCACAGAACTCAGAGAAGTGCTTTGCCTATTATTAGAGTTGTACTATAAAAAATAGAACCAGGAAGATCTCCAGGGAAAATCCCCTCTTGTCTCCCAGCACATCAACGTGGTCACCAACTCAGAAACCCCCACCCAAACCTCATTGCTTAGGAGCTTTTAACAGAATTTTCACTATGTGGGGCTGGGGATTTAGCTCAGCAGCATAAGCGCCTGCCTTGCAAGCAGGCAGTTGTGAGTTCGATCCCTGGTACCGATAAAAACGAAAAAGACAAAAAAAAAAAAAAAAAAAAAAAAAAAAAAAAAAAAAAGGAAAAAAAAGAATTTTCACTATGTAGGCAGAATTAACAAAATTACTGCTCATCACTGATTTATTCAATCCCCCATCCCTTCTTCTAACCAGAGGCCAAGACTTGGCACTGAATGACTTAACTCTTCAATCATGTGATTGATTTTTAAGAGACGTTTAGGAAATTCCAAGGGTTCAGGGAGCTCTGCGCCAAGATAAAATCTTCTTTGTTATACCATCATATGTATGTCTTAGGAAAGGTAGAAACAAATACAAACAAACAAACAAAACAATACACTATCTGTTCTCCACTCTGAGGTCAACAGTGAGAAGAAAATTAATGGATATTTCCTTGCCTCTCCACAGTTACCACAGTGTCAGGTGAGACGTGGGCAGAGAACAGGAACCCAGGGTTAACTGGGCCCTGCTCAGCACCCTCCAAGGGACGTATGTTAGCAAGTGGAGATTTGAGCTCAGAAGCCTGAGGTTCTGGGGTCTGGGGCAGGCAGTCCTCACCGTCTTCACCTACCCATGTTCCATGTCTCAGGGCTGAGCTGGAAATCTCTGTGGAGTCTTCCTCCTCATTGGATTCTGAGTCCTCACTGCTGATGACTGCACAAAAGAACAAAACTCATCAGGGTTCCCAGGGTAGCTGATACATCTGGACACCCATTCTATGGGGACACTGAGAAATTCAGAAGCTTGGCTAATTTTTAGGCAGAAAAAGTCCCCATTTACTGCTGGTCACTGTGGTTACTGTCCCTGGATATGAGGCTAAGAACAAAGGAGAGGGCCACCAGGGCCAGCCTTATTGTCTTGATGGGGGTGTGTCTCCCCGTTCCTCTACCTCTTTGTTCTCACAGTCTCTGTGTTTCTCTCTCCAGGGCATGTTTTCTTCTTTCCTGTCTTTTTTCCTTCTTTCTTCCTTTTGCACTGGGGAGCAAACTCATTCTGCACAGAGTTACATCCCAACAAAGAATCTCACCACATGGCTAAATTGCTAGGCTCTAATTAGAATTTGCTGTCCTCTGGCCTCAGCTCCCCAAAGTACTGGGACTCCAGGCACACACCACCACATCTCCTTCCAGTGTTTTCTGCTTTTGCCTTTTCCAGCTCTTCATCCCTCTCCCCCAACTCACACCCTGGCATCCTTGCCTCATATGTTTCCTCTCAACTATTTCACCCCTCCTAGGTCCTCAGTCCCCTTTCCTATGAACTTTCATTGTTAAATAAAAGTCCCTGGACAGAACACCATCCTGGACTCTGATAACACAGCCAGCCTGTCACCTCTGCTGTGACACTCAACGGTCACCCCATCAGTGACACCCTGGTTACCCTTACCAATGATTTCAGTCACTCGATTCTGCCTTGTCTGTGACTTCTGGTGGCACTCTACACACACATTGCCATAATTGTGTCTCGTCCTCCCTGAAATAAAGGATGCTGGGTGAAGAATTTCTATTGGTCCTTGAAAGCCTCATGGTACCAGCTCTCTCCCCACACCATATGTGAGTGCACAGTTCTAGCCACGCTCTCCTTCTGCCTTTCACCTTGCTCTGCACCTGCATCTTACTTTCTGTCTTCATTTCTCAAGTGCTTTTCTTTTCTCCCCAAACTCTACATTTTGATATTTCTCTTTTCTCCTTACCAGCTATCATCATCTATTTACTGATCATTGTCTGGACTGAATTTTGTGTTCCTAACACAATTAACTCTCAGTCTGAGATTCTTAACTTGATTCTTATACTCATTGACCCAAAGGTATCCTATTATACATGGAATGGACCTTTCTATCCTTGGATTCTTCATCTACAAATTCAATGAACCAGATCAGAAAGTCTTGAGAAAATATACCCGATCTGTACTGAACACGAACTGAAGTTTTCTTGTCATTGTCCCCTAAACAACAGGGCAAGCACCTATTTACATAGCATTTACATTGTAGTATGTATTATAAGTAATCTGGAAATGGTTTAAAGTACACAGGAGGATGTGTGTAGGTTATATGCAAATGTTATGATCTTTTATATAAGGGAAAATTTTATACTGAGCAGTCATGGATTTTGATATGCATGGGGGGATTCATCCTCAGAGATACTAAGGAGCAACTGTGTAATTCTTAAAATTTTAAAAAGTTTTCCATACAGGGCATAAGTGCCTGCGTGGCAAAAGTGAGGTCATGAGTTCAATCCCTGGCACCAAAAATAAAATTTCCATATAACCATATCAGTAATATGTTTACCTAATTACATGCCCAGTTTTTAAGACATCAGAAATATGAATACTCTAATTTCCTGACAAATAATAATTGAGCTCTTATTGGGACAGACTTTTAAGACAAGAAGATGGCCATCTTATTGGGACAAACTGACTTAGAAGGCATGGCCCCTCCTTCTTGGTCGCAGTCAACTACAGGTAGGATGTGGTTACCATCATCACAGGAAATCAGGAGTGTTATCTCACCACAAGTGAGAAGTGCTCTAGGAACACACTCATCCAAGAGATTTTTCTGAAAGAAGTTTCATATAAGCAGGAGACAACCAGATTAGGGGCAGGATGGGAAGGGAAGAGGCAAAGACAAAAGATCCAAATAGAAGAGACAACATGGCCCAAAGCAATCCACGTAACCAAAATAAGTAACCAGAAGACGTGAACAGGACTGTTTAGTGTGAAAGAACAAAGGCTGAATAATTAGGAAGGTTCCCTGTGGTTTCTGCATTGGGTTGAAGGAGATTTTCTGTGAACCCAAGGGTCATGAAAATCACTGCGGGATGGATTGAAAAGTAGCACGAACACGTCCACGCTTCTGCAAGTGTCACCAACTAAAGTCCAAGGGAGAGTTGCCAGACACCTCATTCCCATCAACAGCAAAGGAAAAGCATGGTCAGGTTACTGCCAGGTCACAATGCTGGTGACAGATGGGACCAGGAAGCTGAAGGAGGACTCAGAACGATTCCTGAGATTCTGTATTGAAAAACTTGACATTGGTCCACATTACTAGAGATGGAACCTGGGCACAGGAAGGTGGGGAAGAGGACCCGGTTTCATGGAAGATGACAACAAGCTCGGTTTTGAAAACACTAAACTTGAGACTCCCAAGAGATTCAGGCCAGTCCATGAACAAGCTGAGAAGACAAGTCTGGCCTGGAAGCACACATTCGGGATCCATCAGCTATGGAAGATGGCAGAATTCATAGACGGGTGAGACAGTCTAGGGCAAGTTTTATTTTAATCTGAAGGCTTAGAGATGCCCATCTGAAAACCGAGGCTAAGGAGAATATCCCATCACCAGAAGCTTCTGCCTAGTGACCTGTGTCCCTCCTCCTGAATCCGAAATATCTCGGGGATCTCCTGTCTGCCACACCGACCTCTGCCAATCACTCTCACTTCTCACTTTCTGGCCCCTTTGTGCTTTTCTTTCATTTTCTCTTTTTTTGAGACTTACTTCGCCCTCCATGTTTCTGTCTCCATATAGTTTTTCTTACTGTCTGTTGTTTGAATTTTTGGAGCATCTCCCCTCTGCCATGTCTCTCTAGACCCTTCTGTTCCTGCTTCTCTAGGGGTCACCTTGAGCTTGTGTCTACCCTTACTCATCCAGTTTCTTTCTTTCTTTTCTTTTCTTTTCTTTCTTTGTTTCTTTCTTGTCTTAAAAGTTGAGTCCTTTCCTTACCAAAGTTCTCCTTCCTCGACATTGCCCCTTCACTGTTACCATGTTTCCCTGAAAATAAGACCTCACTGAAAATTAATCAGTCTTTAAAACTAGAGATCAAAAATGTGAATCTAATCAGCCTATCCCTGGCTTACCTCCCTTACAGAGAAGCCACTGAGCAGGAAATTAGCAAGGCATAATCTTCTGCATGACACTGGCCATCATGATGGTAATGACCTGCTAGGATTTATTTTCCAGATAGATCTTATTTTCACAGAAATGCAATTCCAATTAGCTAGGAGTTCTTTGGCTCAATTTGGATAGAAATCACCAAAAAGCAAAGTGATGCTCTCTTTGGTGTCATTGGAGTTCAGCTCTTCCTGTTAGCAGCTCTGAACACCACTAGCTCCTGGTGTTACCAATGCTGCCAGCTTGGTCTTCCCAGTTTCAGACAGAAATCATAAATGGATGAAATAAAAACCATCCAGATGAGGTTTTATTGGGCCTCATCCTGCTGCATGAGGGAGGCAGTAGTCAAGAGGGACATTTCCTCACTTGTGCCAGACAAAGCCATCTGTGCATACACATTGGATCTGTCTTCACTCAACTGTCAGGAGGTGGTGACACTCCCACCTGGGTAAAGTCATCTGCGAGTCCAAAGGAGGTGGGTGGTGGTGTATTGCACAAGCGGCTGGGGTTAAAGCATCCATTACCATGGCATCTGCACATGCAGCAGCACAGAAGCCACAGAAGCAGAGTCAGCTAACGCAGTCACCCAGAGTGGCTGCAGCTGAAGCAGCCACTACTGTGGCTGTGAGGTTGCTGCTACAGCGTCAGAATCAGAGGTGGCTGCCACTACAGTGACAGCCCCCTATTAGACACAGGGGCCACAAAGATGTCAGAAGAGATGCCCAGCCCCTACCACACTTACACTTCATCTCAAGTGGCCTGGCATGACCCCTTGACCGCACCGTGTGGCTGCAGCAGTGGCTCTCAGCTGTGTAGCTGGGTGTAACGGCACCTACTTCCAACAACCCTGGGGTGCCTTGGCTTTGTGCATACAAATAGCCTGTGTTGAAAACGAGAAAATACCACCCTATAGAAGAATGGAACCCTTTCTATTCTTTCTTACTACAATAACCCTTCCCTTCTCTTCAGCCTGGAGGTCTTTTAAATCTGAGTTACACACATAAGTTCATGTGGTAACTTCTCGTAAGTAGAAGAAAAAGTTATCTCCACATCAACTCTATACCAACCTAGAAAAGTGTGATGTTATAATCATCATTTAAAATGTCCTTCTGCAGACTGACTAGGGGAGAGCCAGACGCCAGCCCTCTCCTGTGAGTCGGTGCCCATATGGACTGCAGGGAAAGAGAGCAGGAAGTCAACAAGAAGCTAAAACCTCCTGTGAGTCGGTGCCATGTGTGGGCTGACCAGCAGAGACCAGACACTAACCCTCTCCTGTGAGTCAGCACCATTTGTGGACTGTGGGGAAGGAGAACATGACAACAAGCTAAGACCTCCTGTGTGTCATTTCCATGGAAGAGAGCCAGACAGCAGCCCCTTCCAGGGCACAGACAAGAAGAGCCAGCATTCCCTCACCATAAGCAACCAGCTGATCTGGAGAAACTGTGATGATAGTTAATAAGGAAAAATGCAACTTAATGTTCATAGTGTTTAGTGTTTCACTGATCTTGCAGGCCTAAGCCGGTAGTCTGATCATCCATTCAGAGAATAACAATACGCAATGTGGTATCTATGGGGAATCTCCTTCTGAAGGTGACAGCCATTGTTAATTCCCTATTATCTTGTTTCAAAGTCCTGTAGCATTCTCATTGTTTTGTTTGGTTGGATTTTATTCTGTTTTATCTTGTTTGATTCTATTATATCTGATAGCATGGGCAGCTATTTTTTTTTTTTTTTTTTTGGCTTTTTCGTTTTTATCGGTACCAGGGATCGAATTCATGACTGCCTGCTTTCAAGGCAGGTGCTTATACTGCTGAGCTAAATCCCCAGCCTGTGGGCAGCTATTTTGAAGGTAACAAGATATATTATGATAGCCATTTTGGATTTACTATTATCTTGTTTTGAGGTCCTGTATTGCATTCATTATTTTGTTTTTATTGGCTCTATTCTATGTCTGTCTTGATTGATTTTACTGTGTCTGATGGTATTGGCAGCTGTTTTGAAGACAACAAGAGGTACTATGGTAACCAATGTTGACTTTCTGTTACCTTGTTTTGAAATCCTGTGTCACTTACATTGTCTTGTTTTGATTAGCTTTATTTTGTTTTATTTTGCTTGGCTTTATACTCTCTAAAATGAAATTAAAGGGCCTGGGATTCAGCTCACTGGCACAAGCACTTGCATGGCAAGTGCAAGGTCATGAGTTCAATATCCGGTGCCAAAAAATAAAAGAAAAAAAATTTTTAATGTCCTCCCAAAAGGCTCATTGTTTTGAAAGTGTTACTGTAAGTTGATGGGGGGAAGAAATTAGAGCAGGAGGGCTTTAAGTTCATCAAGTAGATTATTAATCATTGATAAATTCAAGTGCAGAGAATGTATCAGGAAGTGAGGCCTCCTTGAAAGTGGCTGAGGCCTTGAAGGGTGTATCTTGACCCTGACCCTTTCTTCTCTGGCTCTTTCTTTCTTGGTCCATTCCCTGTTGGACAGAAAGTAGGCAACTTCCCTTTTTGTCTTATCTGCTGAAACACTACTGCCTCACCACAGAAGCAATGGAGCCAGCTGAGCATCAACTGAAATTTCTGACACTGTCAGCTAAAATAAACTTTTCCTCCTTTAAGTTGCTCTCCCTGGGTGTTGTGTGGTGGGGACAGAAAGCTCCCTACCATGAATGGATTTTAAGCCCACTTACATGGGATGGACTCCCTCCTCTAACTCACTGTCTGATGGCTCCATCTGTTTATCTTCTCTATCCTCATCCTCTACCTCTTCTAAACCCAGGGTGCCCTCAACTCCCCTTTGTCTTAAGTTCGCACAAGTGAGCAGCTCCTTAAAGGCAAATGTTGACCTCGGTCCCCTTTCCTTCCTGGCATCTTAGAAGTAGCCAGAGGCTGGGCGCGGTCATCTTCAGGGAGCAGACAGAAGGGACCAGAGGAAAGGAGGGAGAAAACCGCTTCTCTCCACGATGATTAGATCAGGTAAGTGATCACTGAAAAAGTGGGGCTCAACCCGTTACCTCTTCTGCTACGAGGCGGTAAGCTGGACATTTCTTCTAACGCTTCCTCCTTTTTCATTTGGGCAGCACTGAGTTCACCAGGACCTGACGAGACAAAAAAGAAAGGAACAACCAGAGCCATGGGTGGGAAATAGATGACGGTGTGGCCACCCTGAGCTCTGGGGTTGGAGGCTAAACCCATGAGGAGTTAGCCCTGCCCGCTGAGCTTTTGCAAACACTGCTGGGCTCTGCATCTGTCCACCTTGTCAGGCTTCATTCTCTTTCTTGTGCCTTCTCAATTTTCCACCAAGATCCCAAACTCCCGCGATTGCTGCTTCTACTCTAGGAGTCATTTCTGCCTCTTGGGCAGCTTCTCTCTCAGTGGCTTTACCTGCCACTCAATTTCCCCTCTCCCTCTCCTTCCATGGTGACATCCACCCCAGTCCTTCTCCTCTCTATTTGCCCTTCCTGTACACCTTTCCCATCCTGTTCCATTCCTGTGTCCCTGTGTCTCTGTGACCTTCTCTGTTCTCCCCACAGAAACTTCAAGATACCCTTTTTAGTTACTCAAATGTCTCCCTGCAGTGGACACTGCCCATTCTGCTGTCACTCCAGACTCTCGGGGCCTCTTCCGTAGACTGGACATTAGACACATTAGTGACACCTCCCACACTCCTGTCTAGACAACAGACACCCATATCTGACCACCACCAGCCTAATCTGCTCGGGCATGTTCATGGTCTGCTTGCTGAGTTCCAAGAGCCTCGCCTGGGCCACAGACAGAATGTTCTTTCTATACCGTGCCTTCATGTCCAAGATAGGCTCTGAGAGTCTAGTTCTAGCTCCAGACTGGATGGCCCCTAAAGGACACTGAGGTTTCATTAATATGACACTGTGGCATCATTACTAAACAAGTTAAATTGTTGGCTTAAATGATAATGATTTCATAAATTGATTGAATTCCAACCCCATACACCCTCCTGGGCAAGGTAGAAGATCAAGACTGTTATCTAAATCATCAACTTGAAGAAACAGCAATCACAAAGACTATGGCTCTTGGGCAAACTGCGTATAAGGAAGCAGTGACATTCCTGGATGGGATAAACCACAAAGATCACACACGAGTCAACAGGAACATACCATCGGAAGGCAAGGGCTCCGAGTGAGACCACCTGAGAGTTTGTGAAACAGAGTTTCCATCTGTTCCTGGGGAACAAATGAGAAAAACCTTATTTCAGAAGTAAAGTGATGGGTTTAATCTCTGGCCCAAATCTCCCTTCTGTTTTTATCATGCAGCAGCTAGAAGAGCCCTTCACAAAGTATCAATACAGAGCCCTTCTGCAGTTGGCAGGTCCACCTGCTTCTTGAAGTCAGACTGCAGTCCTGAAGCCACTGTGCATTTTGCGGGACCACCCCACCAGTGTCCCCTGTGAGATAATCCAGCACCTAGCAATGCTTTGTCTTAATCTCCATAGCCAAAGCCAACCTGCATTTGCCCGGAAAACTGCCCTACCCAGAGGCCTTCCCCGATTTCCTAGATGTTCTGATGGCCTGATCCCCATCTCCCAGTACCCACACATCTGTTGGCTTCTACTTGTTGGCCTTTCTAGGAGGATCTGGTGACCAAGTCACCTCCAATTCCTGCACTTCTTGCTATTCTTTGTTTCTTTATCTTGCTTTCTGAGTACACTTCCCTGCCTTTTGCTTCCTATTTCTGCCTTTTTGTTAGATTGTGTGGATAATAGTTCAGGGTTAAGAATCTGGGCTCAAGGTTTGGGATTCCCTGGTCCTCCCTTGTTTATTGGCTCCCAGCACGCTCGGCACCTGGTCTTACACCTCTGACACTCCTGCTCTGGGTCTCACTATGGCTGCCTTCCTCCTTGAATACTCCCGCTCCAGAGCAGCAGTTCTCACAGTAAAGTCTGCTCCTTCTTCCTCACTGACCTGTTCGCTATAGGCCCATCCACAGTCCTGAGCCCTTAACAGCTTTCCTTATGGAGACTTAATTCACACGCAGAGTCTGAGCACACCACGCAGGTTATTGGGCAGGAAGTCTCACTTTGCTGCCTCTTGTCAATGCTTCTGGATTTCACACTAAACAGTGCTCACCTGGCCTGTTCACGCTCCTCTAGAATTCCCTCCCCAGCATCAGTGCCTCTCCAGAGCCCAGTTCTTTTGTCTCCCTTCTCCACTGACCTAGTTTTTACCCAGTCATAAGTACCTTGTTCATAGCTCTGCTGAGTACTGGATGTTTTTTGCTTCTGTTCTCCATCGATTTTCTGGGGAAAATATTTTTCTTGGAGTACTGAACAGAGAAAAAACATTATGAGAGCTGGCAGGCAAATGATCAAGCTCACCACTTCATAGTTGCATAGGTCAGGGAGACAGTTGCATGGATGGAGCAGCTGTGAATGCTTGAAATTCTGTGGAAAACTCCAAGACCTTGGGTCACTCTGAATTTCAATGGCTTATGACTCAATATAGCTAAGTGAACTGAGAAAAAAAATAGAATAAAATAAAACAAAACAAAACCACTAAAATCCTAGAAGCAATGAACCTCTCAGCTCTTGAGGATGGTGACAACAGTGGAAAAATAATAATTAATAATCAGTTGCCCAACAAGTTGATCAGGGAGGAACAGAAGCATAGCCCAATGTAAATTCTATACATGGAGTATTCCTGTGAATTGTACAAACCTTAGGGAAGAAATAGGGATTTCCTATGAAGAAAGCTTAAGATCATAGAGAAATACAAGTAGGTAAGAAGAAAGAACCCAATAGTTTTTAAAGTTGGTGCTAGAAAAGCGGGGAGTCTGGGCTTAGTTCAATGAGGATGGATGGGTGTTTCCCAAGGAGACACAGCAGAGGACATGAAACAAGACAGAGGGGTCTCCCAGCGGTGCCCCAGAAGGACAGCTCTGTAGACCAAAGCACAGAGTGGAATCCCATAGAGCTGCCAAAAAAGAGAGATTAGGACACCAGCCCACTTAGGTCCTTCTTGCCCAGCGCAGGGCCTGGGACAAGCTCAGATTTCATGAATATTTGTTAAGTAAGCAGCTAAGCAAATGAGGGACTGAAAAAGACCCCAAGATGGAAGGGAATGAATGAATTACCATCTTCAAAGCTTCTGTGAATCTGAACTAAGCCAGGGTACTCTTTCAGGTGAATTTTGCTGAACAGGGCTTGTATAACTGACCAATCAAACGACTTCTCAAGGTGACAGAGAATGTGATACGCCACTCTTTCCACAGGAATCATGTTTCTACAAGCTTCATGAGAATCCTTTCAAAGATGTGAAAAATATACAAAATCATAGTTTCAAGGTTAAAGAGTAATCCAAGGAGTCGCTTAGTCTACTCAGCGTACTTAAACCAGCATTTTTGACATAATATTTTAGAACTTAAGTATTTGATGAACTGTTTAAAAGAACAAGTGAGCATGTCTCTTCACTTTTAAACTCTGCTCTTGCCTAGGACATTTCAAGAATGCATCCTATAGCAGCTCCGTGGATGGCACGGCAGTCACTGTCCCCTCCCATGTCCCACCTCAGGGATGGAAAGAGGTTTAGGGCTTGGGGAGGTGGTTCCGCCCTGGCTGTGAAGAGTGTACAGGGAAGAGCACGATCTACATGGAGAGCAGGGCTTCCCTCTCTATGTCCCCAGGAGGGGCCATTGTTTAACGTCATTGGAATCCCAAAGCTTCAGAACCACCTAACAAAATCTAAACACTGTGCAACAGCCGAGAGCAAGGCAGAAAACTGTTTTGTAATAGTACAAATTCTCTGGAGATTCCATCTGATATAAGAAGACATCACAATAAAGTACCGTCTCTCCTGATTATTGTTTTCTTTTGCTGTGTGGTATAAATCACTAATTGTTGAGTGTATCATTTGCAGTGTCGTCATATCATCATTAGCATTCATGCCCATCCCAATATATGCCTCAGAAGAGAAGGGGTCCAGGTAGAAACAGTGGCATCTGTCATGGCGCCTACTCATTCTGTCACCTTCTACCTTACAGGATGATTAACCAAGATGCAACTGTTTTCCCACATATGTCATCCCTGGGGAAACCAAGGCATTCAGCGCCATGTCTCTGAAACACTCTTTTGTATCGCAAGGCTTTTGCCAAGTCAAGGTGACATTGTAAGTGCTCAGAGTCCAGACTGTCCAGGTAACTGTTATCTGAAGGGCCCGGGAAGTGAGGTAAACTAAGGCTGTCCGGAACCCACAAACTAAATCAACTGCTCCTTGGAATGCTGCTCATACCATGCATCAAATAAAGCTAACGATGTCTCTGCTCTGTGGTTTACTCTGTGCAACCTCTTCTTTGTAGCACCTGGGCATGGAAGAGAGTGCTGTGAACACTGACCCCAGCCTGCCACCACCAGACACATGTGCTATTTTCTGGTGAATACTTGTCTACCCCAGTGCTGACTGGGCCTCCTGAGGGGTGCTGACATCAGCAGACAGCCCTCACAGACTTGCTGAGTAGCACTTTTGAAGAATGCATATCCCTTGTGACTTTTTGCAAGGCAGTGCTGTTGCTGAATACAAACCCCTTGAGGACCTTCCATGTAGTACTGTTGAACCTCTCAGTCTCCTCATGGATATTTCCCTGTAGTAACTATCAATTTATCCTATGATGCCCTGTTAATACCTATCAATAAATCTAAATAACCTTGTCTCTTCCAAGCCATCTGTAGTTAATTTCTTTTATCTTTCAGGAACCTGCTTCCCTGACCCAGCACACCTGGGCGGTGGAAAGGACAGCATGAAAGCCAGAAAAGCCCTCTCCTCCAGTCAGTGGTAAACTGAACTTTGATACCAAACATAAATTAATGTGGGGTTGGATTACTATATGGCAAAGTAACATGACTTACGGTATAGATTTTGTCGGTGATAAAGGATTGATCTCTAAGGTTTTCTAGGAAAGGAAATGGCTGTGTTATTGCATTTGCTATCTCCAGTTTATTTTCTTTGAAGTGTTTGAAAACTATGTCATGAAAAATCTCCTCCTTCTGGACCACTGCAAACATCCTAAAGAGAAAAGCACAATGAGAAAATAAACATCAAGATTCCAAGCTACCTTTCCTACCAGAAAACCCAGGCTGGATTTCTTCCCTTGTAAATTCTTTAAAACACACATTTAAGAAAGGATATTACCAAGCTTACACACACAAACTCATTCAGCAAATTGAAACTAACATGTCCCGACTTGCTATAAAAGGACAGTATAATCATGATACAAAAACTCACGAAAACGAAAAGCACAGATCCGATCACTCCTAGACACAGATAGGAAAGCTCCAACGAAACATGAGAAAAACTTATCCCAGGAAGAAAGAAACCTTTATTTAAAAATCAAAGACTGTATGTCACTATAGAAAAAAGCAGGAAAAAAGGAGAAAAATGTGATAATTTCAACTGATATAGAATAGAGTAGAGTAGAGTAGAGTAGAGTAGAGTAGAGTAGAGTAGAGTAGAGTAGGATAGGATAGGATAGGATAGGATAGGATAGGATAGGATAGAATAGAAGTAGAGTAGAGCAGAGCAGAGTAGAATGGAATAGAAATTAATAAAATTTGACATCTGTGGCCTTCCCTTGAACTGGGCTCTGCCAGGCAGATTGAGAAGAGACTCAGCAAGAAGACAAACCAGGCCTTCCAGTGAACCAGCCCGTGGAAAACCAGAAGAGCATCCCCTCCCCGCTCCAGCAGCCCTGCCGCTGTAAGCCACTGACTGATTCAGAGGACTCAGAGCGAGATGACAGCAATTGAGGTGAAGGAACAGCTTGATCCTTGTACTGTTTGGTTGACTCTGCAGGCCTGGGGCTGGTGGTCTGGGCATCTACTTGGAGGATGGCAGTGTGTACTATGGCAACTGTGGGGGATTTCTTGCTGTCTTTTTTTTTTTTTTTTTTTTTTTGAAATTCAGTGTTCTGTTCTACTTTACTGTTTTGTTTTGTTCCTGTATCTGGTAATCTGAGCAAATGTTTTGAAGATAACAAAGTGTAGTATCACAACCACTGTCAAATTCCTATCATCTTGTTTTAAAAACCTATAAAGCTGTTGTTGTCTTGTTGGTGATGTCATTTTGCTTTTATTGTTGTTTTCTAGGTTTGTTTGCCTCTTGATTTATATGTTTTTTCCTTTTTCTCTTTAAAAAAATTGACATCTGTTCATGATATTTTTAAACTCCCAGAAAACAAAAAATAGAAAGTAATTTTAACGATCTAATAAATGAGTAAACATATTCACAAGAATGCTAAACTAACATTACAGTTAAAAGCAAAATATCAAATACTTCCTCATGTAATTTAAGAACAAAATAAAGATGTCTTCTGTCACCATAATATTATCGGAAATCCTAGCCAATGCAATAGGCAGAGACAAGACATACAAAATAACTACCATTATTTGCAGATGACAATATCTGAAAATCTAAATCTAAAAGGAGTTTCTGAACAAACCATCAGAACTAATTAGTAATTTCAGCAAGGTGCTTGTATTCAAACCAAAAAACAGACTGCCAGACTGGATCAAAAATCGAAATGCAACATATATTGCCTATAGGAGACACACCTCCTCCAAAAGGAAGATCATGACTGAAGATGAAAAAAATAGGAACTAGGGCCCAAGGCAAGCAGGAGCACCTGTCTGGTCTTGAGACACAAGAGGCTTCAAACCAAAATAGATCAGAAGGGACGAATATGGCCAGCAAAGGGACCAGTTCACAAGGACGAGAGGATAATGGTAAATATCGACACATCAAATGTTGGTTCACCAAACTTCATAAAACCAAAACTAATACTGAACATAAAAAGACAGATAGGCACTAGTCCTATCATGGCTAGGAACTTCAACACCCCACTTTCATCACTTGACAAGCTAACCAGACAAAAATTAACAAAGAAATATCACAGTTAAACTACGTAATACTGAACAGATGGACAACAGATAACTACAGAGTATTTCTTACACCAACAGAATACACATATTCTTCAATAGCATGAGGAACTTTTTCCAAAATAGACCATCCCATTTCTTAGGCCATAAAGTTTGCTTAAATACATAAAACAATATTTGAAGTAATCCCTTGCATTTGAAATAATCCTAGAGGAATGAAGCTAAAAATCAATAGCTATAGAAACTACACAAACATAGAGATTAAACAATACATTACTGAACAAACAATAGATCACAAAATAGGTCAGGAAAGAAGTTTAATAGTTTCTAGAACAAACAACAATGGAAGTGCAATCTGCCTAAACACAAGGAGCCAGCTCTGAGGAAGTTTATAGTTGTGAATGCACATGTAAGAACAGAGTAAACTAAATAACCGAATGATGCATTTCAAGGTCCCACAACAATGGGAACACCAAAATCTGAAATTAATACAAGGAAAACATTATAAACATTGGAACTGAAAATAATAAAACAAAAAAATACAAAGGATCAATTGGGAACATGAAAATCTGAAACTAATACAAGGAAAAAATTACAAAGATTGGAGCAGAAAATAATAAAATTGTGACTAAAAATATAAATGATCAATTAGTCAAAGATTTGGATCTATGAAAGAATAAATGAATTAATACTTAGCCAAGCTTACTTCCAAAAATATAAATTAAAAAATCCATATCCATGCTATTGGAAATGGGAATGTGAAATCATAACCAGTAGCACCAAAATCCAGAGGATTATAAGAAACTTCTTTAAAAACTCAGGGGCTGGGGATTTAGCTCAACAGCATAAGCGCCTGCCTTGCAAGCGCGTGGTTGTGAGTTCAATCCCTGGTATTGATAAAAAAAAGAAAAAAAAAGCAACTGCTTTAAAAACTCATATTCTAATAGTAGAACTTAGAGAAATGAATAAACTGTTGGACCCACATGAATTATCAAAGTTGAACCAAGAAAATATTCTGAAAAGACCAATATCAAGCAATAAAATAGAAGCAGTAATAAAATTTCTATCAACAAACAAAAGCCCAGAACCTGATGGAGTCATCACAAAATTCTATCAGAACATCAGGGAAGATCTAATGTCAATACTCTTCAATCTCTTTAATCAAATTGAAAGGAAGAAAGTACTATCAAACTCATTCTTGGAAACTAACAATACCTGGATACCAAAACTAGACCAGGACTTAAACAAGTAAAATAAAATAAAATAAAATTTTAAAAAATCACTATAGACCAATATTCTTAATAATGTAGACATAAAACTTCTCAACAAAATACTGTACTGGTAAACAGAATGCAACAAATCATTAAAAAGATCATACATCAGAACCACACTGGCTTCATCTCAGGGAAGCAAAGATAGTTCAACATATATAAATCAATAAATGTAGTATATCACATAAACCACATGATCATCTCAATAGACACAGAAAAAGCCTTTGACAAAATCCAACATCCATTCATGATTTAAAAAAAAAATCTTGACAAAAATAGATACAGAAGGACCTTATCTCAATGTGATAAAGTCAATTTATAACAAATCACTCTGGGGGGCTGGGGATTTAGCTCAGCGGCATAAGCGCCTGCCTTGCAAGCAGGCAGTCGTGAGTTCGATCCCTGGAACCGGTAAAAACGAAAAAGACAAAAAAAAAAAAAAAAAAAAAAAAAAATCACTCTGATACTAAATGGGGAAAAAACAACTGAAAGCTTTTCCTCTAAAATCATGAAAAGGCAAGAGCATCTACTTCCACTCAACACAGTACTCAGAACTTTCAGCCAGATCAATCAGGCCAGGGAAAGAAATAAAAGGGATATGTGTAAGAAAGGAAAAAGTCAAACTATCATTACTCACAGATTTGGTGATCCTTTGCATAGTAGACCCAAAAATCTCCACAAAAGACATCAAGAACAAATTCAGCAAAGTAGCACAACACAAAATCAACACCAAAATAATCTGTTCTTGTACCAATGAGCCCATAAAGAAAGACAGAAAAACAAACAATATCATTTGCAACAGTGTAAAAAAAAACTAAACACTTATGAATTAACCCAAACAAGGAAGCGAAAGACCTCTATAATGAAAACTATAGTATTCTTTTAAAAAGAGATACAAGGGGCATCAAAAAATGGAAATACATCCCCGGTTCCTGGATAGACAGAACCAATACTGTCAAAATGGTCCTATTACTAAAACTGATATGTAGATTAAATGCAATCCCAATCAAAACAGCATTCTTCACAGAACTTGAAAAAAATAATACTAAAATTTACATGGAACCAGAAGAGACTGAGAATAGCAAAAGCAATGATGGACAACAAGAGCCAAGCAGAAGGCATCACAATCTCAGATTTCAAATTGTATCACAAAGCTATGGTGATAAGAACAGTGTGGTACTGGCACAAAAATAGATTGGCAAGACAGAACAGATGATGCAGAAACAACCCCAGGCAACCTTTCAGCTATCTAATTTTAGATAAAAGGAGCCAAAAACATATGCCAGATACAAGCTAGCATCTTTAATAAATGGGGCTGGGGAAACTTTCTATCCACTGCAGAAGAATGGATCTAGTCCCGTATCTTTCACCCTGTACTAAAATAAAATCAAAGTGAATCAAGGATCTAGATATCAAAACAGAAACAATCTGCTGGAAGATAAAATAGGTAAAAACTTTAAGATGTAGGTATTTCTGAACAGAATTCCAATCGCACAAGAAATAACACCAAAATCAACAAGTGGGATTATATCAATTTAAAAATCTCCTTCACAGCAAAGGAAACAATCAACAAAGTAAAGAGACAACCTACATAATGCGAAAAAAGTTTCCCCAGCTATTCTTCAGTCAAATGACTAGTATTTACAATACATAAAGAACTCAAACTGGGGTGTGGCACATGCCTGTAACCCCAGCATTTGGGAGGCTGAGGCAGGATTACCTTGAGTTTGAGGCCAGCTTGGACTACATAGCGAGACTGTGTCTCTGAGAGAGAAAAAAAGAACTCAAAAGAATTACATCTCCCAAAATAAAACACCCAATCAAAAAAAGTAGACAATTGAAGTGCACAGATACTTTCAGA